CGATCCATGCGTTGTCCCATGCCTTCATGAATATGTAAGTGAATTTTGTCTGCTGAAAAAGTAGATCTGTTGTTATTTATTGGGAAAACAAGGTATACGGCATAGAGAAAGTGCCATTCATATTGAATAATGACCAATATCCGGTTTTTTTTCAAAAATGCAATGCATACGTCGATCAATGGAAATCAAAAAATAGCGCATCCACTGAGTTGCTCTTTCTTCAATTACTCTCCTTCTACACTGAAAAATTCCATAAAAAACGATTTGTCGTTTGTATACAAACACGAATGCCTGTTATAAAAATTGGAAGACAAATACACAACCACAAACTCTTTTGCTTGGGTGAGTTTTTAACTGGGACAGAGAAAACTTGTAGGATTATCCTTCCATTCAGATCCGACATCACTCAGTCGAAATTTATGCTACACCATGAAAGCGAATCGTTCATTTCAATACTTTCAACATACACTTCGAACAGCTCTCAGCTACTTTTGTCAAAAACAAAAGAATGAAGAGGGTACTGACATTCCATCGAAAGAACTACTTCGCGTAATAGAGAAATCCTACAGTTTACTTATTGAATATTTTCCAAAAGAAAACAGTTACTGGGATCGCGTACAACAAGAAGATATACAAGAAGATTATAAGAGAAGGTTTGACCATATAGAGCATTCATTACACGAACCGAACGACAAAGAAAAAGTTTCGTCTACAAACAATCCAGTTGAAGAGGATCAGTCGTTTAAATCGTAAGGAATATAACTTTATTCAAGTAATGCCATCTCAAATCGAGTGTTTCAGTGAATTGGAGAGTTCTTACTGCGAAAAATTACTTTCACTACAAGATCTTTGCATAGATCTCAGTGAAACTCAGAAGGAAATTCTATGTAAAAAATACGAACAGCAAGGTATGCAAAAAGAAATCTTAGGGGAAAAATGACATTTTTCATTTTATCACAGTTAAACTGTTCAATACTGCAATCCTACAAATAGTGAATAATATCAAATCAATAACAGAATCTACGACACTTTTGTATGATATGCAAGCGCAAAATTTTGGTGCTCATCAAGTTCGAGATTTTTTTATCCAAAAAAAGACATCTTTTAGAGCACGTCATTGTCTCCTTTTAAGGGTGCACCACCTGTATGTACGATATGTCATGAGAGTGATCATACTAAATCTGATTGTCCGGAATTAATTCTGCCGGAAATGGTTAATAGTCCTGCAAATAGTAGACAATGGCTTGATATACTTTCGTGTATATGTCAACAAGTGACTGGTATTCGTGTTTACAAGTAAATCAGTATTGTGTAAATCCATTCTGTAGATCAATGTAAACTGACGAAACAAGATGCAAAAAATCGTCAAGACATCTTGAATTATCTGCAAACTGAATTTCGAAAATCTTATCCTTCTTGTTCTGTTCATGCATACGGATCATCTCTTAATGGATTTGGACTTCGACAGAGTGATCTGGACATCTGTGTTCTACTGGAAGACAATGTTTGTTGTTCACTTGGCTACTGTCCCATTTTGACTTTTTTTGCTTTAGTATGAAGAGTTGGACATTTGTATTTTGGAGAAGTTATTTCAAATTATGAGTTCAACTCCTCATGTGTTCAAAAATGTGGAATTCGTACGCGATACAAGAGTGCCCATTATTCGATCGATACATTATCCATTGAATATTGAAATTGACGTTACTCTTCATAATGTCTTTGTACGTATTTCATTCTCATTCTATCCGCGACTATTTACTAGTGATTCAGGCGATGGAAAACACTCGTCTACTGAGAGTCTATTCGAAGATCGATTCACGTGTGCCTCAAATTGGATATATGGTGAAACATCTGATCAAGGTATGAAAGCAGAGGATCACATTTGACTTCGTTTGCTCATCATTGTTTATCATAGATATGTGATATTGGAGATGCAAAATTCGGAACATTATCGAGCTATGCGTATATTATTATGATAATACATTTTCTACAACAAATTCAGCCACCTGTCCTTCCTGTTCTTCAACAAGTTTGATTTGTTTGATTTCTATTATTGTGTGATGAATTCAAAAGTTTAGTTAAGCGACAAGAGTTCCAAGGAAAATATCTTCATTCGAGACGGCAACAGGTGGAATGCGTATTTCTACGATAACATATCAAACTTAGTAATTATTTATCTAATTGAACGTTTCTTTCTCACTAATGCAATTTTAGAGTCAGGTTTGGATAAATAAGCATGGGCCAAATACATTAACAACCGGTGAACTATGGATTGCATTTCTACGATACTATGCTGAACAATTTGATTACGAAAAGAATGTTGTTGCCATACGACAAATTGAACCGTTGACACGTAATGAAAAAGGATGGTTTCATCGAACGATTGCCATTGAAGATCCATTCATACTGACGCATAATTTAGCCGAGAGACTGTCGCTGCAAAGTAAGTTCCGAAATGGAATCTTACTTCTATCCTTTTTGAACTATAGAATGGACGTTTATTCGTTGCGTGTTTATTCGAGCTAAAATACACTTCTCCGCACAATTGAATGACACTACTATTCATCAATATACACTTGATTGGATTCAGGTTAGATTTTATTCATATATGTCAGATGAATAAGCTCGTTGTTTTTTTAGAATTACCTATTTGATGTAAATTTTCTCTGTCCTGAGAGGATCTATAAACCGTATAAACCTGTGGAAAAGTCTCCCAATAAGAATAATAAAAAAGCTCAAAAACTCGAACAAAGTAATGAACCGTTAAGACGTTTGATGGGGACCTATGGTAATCTGACTGTTAGTATCCCGAATCAGTCAGCGACTGCTCGATTAACGACTCAATGATGTTACAACAATGAAATGCTTTCTCTTTATTTTTCTGACGAAGAAATGAAGTTTTCAAATATATCTGTGTGTGCCATTTTCCTAGAAACAATTATGAATAAAAGCCAAACAAAGGATCTTGTGCTTTCTTTTTCTTCTGCCGTTTTGTTCGAACTGTTGTTGTTTCGCCATTCTCTGTATTATTTGCCGTGACGTCCACTAGTGCATTCTTTCGCGCATAGATTTCAGCAATTGTTATCGATTCAGCGATATCTTCGCCTTTGTTCGGTATTCCTAATTCCACACAAAGACGACGAGCATTCTGGATGCTCAGTTTGTCAAATTTATGTTCCAGCACCAGTCGCCCATCACGCAGAAGTGCTGGATCTATTCCTGTCATATCACAATTGAATGTACAAATGATCTGTTGATGCATCACATCGCCAAGCAAACCGTCCGATAAATTAAGCAAATTCGAAACAGCTTGATTGGCAAAGACGGAATCGTGTTGTCGATCACGGATGATGTTTTCAGCGTCTTCAACAATCAAAATGGAATTCGGGTTTTTCATCAGGAATGGCAGAAAACCAGGCTTAGTCATGTCCTAGAAATGTACAACAGAATCAAATGTGATTGATGATCAATCATTTTAGTTCGCTCACTTTAACCATATCGGGTGGAACATAGATCAAACTCTTATCTTTGATTTCGTTGATGAGATAACGAAGATAATAGGTTTTTCCAGTACCCGGTGGGCCATGCAATAGAGTGATGCCAGTTGAATCTTCTTCTTGGAGCGTTTCGATAAGTTCTTCGTGTATCTCTGGAAAATCATCTCCATAATGAAGTTTCAGATCGGGAATGTGTGGTTTCTTCATGTGAATCGATGACGTGTAGAAACCGCGTCGTTCGTCATGGCAAACCATTTGTAAAGTAGCTTCGGAAACAGGATATATTTTGAATTTGGATAATTGTTGAAGAAGGGTTCGGGCTCGCTCGGCTGTTTGTGGCACATGAAAAATCTAAAGAAACATTGAAAGAAATTCATTATTTACTCGATGATCATTACTTGAAGTGAACCCAAGCAATTGAAACTTTTATCTTCATTATCTTTTTCTAAATTGTTCGGATTATCGACATCGCCATAACTTGTGAAGCCATTTAGAAGTTCAACTAAAAACAGAATCGGAATTTTATAGTGACTAATGGCTAAGAAATGTTTACTAGAAAGGTAATTTTCAAGATCAATGTAAAGTTTTGTGAATAAAGTTTTGTTTTCGGTTGTATCGTAACTTGATTCGTAAAGAAATGTATCAGGATCGAGTTGGTATTCATTAACAAGAAAATCGATCGTGCTAAAATGAGGAATTGAAATATGAAAAGCATAGGAGATCTACTTGAGTTACCTTGTTGTGTGCCGCCAACCGTTTTTTTTACGTTTCGAAGTCCGTAGCTGTCGATTTGCACGTCCATAGATACTGTTGAGGCCAGAAGAAAACATCTCCTGAGCATTGTAAGTTCCTTGCTCTAATTTTTCAGTCATGATGCAAGGAAGAACTCGATACTTCATCGCAAATTGTGTTGGCCCATAAATAATACTTGATTGTTGATTTGTTAATCGCAAAATATCATCATTTGTCAATGGACTATTTTCACTTCCACCAGCATATTTTTCTTTTAAAGTAATAGGAATAATTTCTTCTTTGACACTCATGTTGTGAAGAAAAATGTGTGTTGTATTTCTGATCGTCGTGCGCAAGATGAAATTACTCTTTTTTTCTTTGCGTTTTCTTTCTCTATTTATATCGACGCGTTGTGCAATACTGCTGGGAGAAAGCTGACTCAGTATGTTTTTAACTACCAAAATTGTATCTTGCATCAGTCCGAGAAATATACAAATGGCATCGAAATCCCCAGTGTAGAACAATCTGGAATATTGCACATTGTGAAGGAAAGGATATTTTGACGTTTATTGGCTTATATAGTTCACCTGCATAGCCTTCTCATCGAGCACGGACCTCTCCCTTTATTTTATTGTATGTGAGCACTTCTATATATGTTGTATCCAATGAAGAAAAAACTATGATTGTGAGTGTGCAGACGATACAAGATAACACCATGCTAAAAGTATTGCACAGTTACTCTCACAATGTTGCTGAACATTCATTGAACTGATGCTGATAAAATCTCTCAAATCAAGCTGCAGTTTAATGTGAGCATTGTCCGGTTCAAAAGTCTTCGATGGTCAGAAAAGGATTTACGATCTATCATTCTGATGATTCTTGGAAAATGAGTGCACGTCACTGCAAACTCTCACCAGTGATTAAAATCGTAAGTAATCCAGAAGCAGTCTGAATGATTGAGATGAGAACAAGGATGAGATATTAAGAACGGAAGTGACGATGAGCGTATTTGATATTACAAGAGTGAAATTCTGCTCTCTACTTTTCTGACATCCGCTGGTTTTTATGGGTAAGAGAATGTATCTTATCTCTTCATTTCGGATAAAACTTCCTTAAAATTTTTTAATGATTTGCATGGTACTAGAAAATATTAAAATCTCCTGATTTTGAGAATTTTAACATAGAGAAATCCAAATCAGAACTAATTTCCAATTTTCACTCTATGTGTAAGAAATAAGATTCAATACGCAAACCATCACAGAAAGTACTTCTGAATTCTTATTGCGACTGGAAAAAATGATTATACAGTCTCTGTTTCGATATTCGGATTAAAACACTCACATTCTCCAGATATTTATCTTTTATTCAATTTCTTGAATATCAAATAACCAAAGGCGATAAAAAAAAACTAGTTGAACTATTAAATTTTATGAAAATTCAAATAGTTTTCAGTTTTAATAGCTAAAATATTTGAATGCAAAAGAAGTGCAGCCATGGGTGGTTCTTTATATCCAACAGTTGATTTAATATTTCCATTTGATGTTATATGCATAAGAAGTGAATTCTTATGATCTAATACAAGCCAATCATTACNATGGTCCAACGCTGTCATCTTCTACTCACGAAATCCCTACCAGTAAAGTTGAATTTTTCCAATGTGATTCTCGTCTAGTGTTTATTTTTAGATGGAAAAACTATGTACTACACGGTGAACTAACCGAAAATATCTGGTCAACTCGTTTTGATTTGAATGCAGATCCGACTCATCATATTTGTGTTCATCGGACATCGATACTCGACAAACCTATAGATCGATTTCCATATGCCACTAAGCTAACACTGTGCGAAACTTTTGAAGTACCACGGCTACCGATTGTAAATGACTTAAATCGCGCTTTTCCACTGCGACAACTAACGAACTTATCGATCCAATGTCATCATTTTGCTTTTCATCAATTAATCGAACTTTTTCGGTTTACAACGAATGTCCAGACGTTGACACTCGATTCTATAGTTCTTTATCGAGCTGATGCAAGTTCAATTCAACGAAATGAAGTCTTTCAGTCGGTATCGAAAGCCAATTCAGTACGAAAACTAACCATCAGTAAAGAGATTACATTAGAAAAAATGCGATTGGTCATTGCCGCTTTTCCTCGTTTGGAAGATCTTACGATTAATTTATTTTTTCCAGATTTGAAACCTATAGCTCAATATTTACTTACAAATGCGCGTCATTTGTCTGCTTTATGTATTTCCAAACAACGTAATGACTTAGTGACAACATTACAAAGTTTGATTAAATCAAAAAAGCTTCTTCGTGATTATGTTCTTAAAGTTTTTAATGGAAAATTGTATTTATGGTTGTAGAATTGATTTTGAATAAATGTGAACCTAGTTGAAAACTTCATCTCTAAGTTGTACTCGTGTACAGCTTAAAATGGGATTGATTTGATTTTGTCGACTATAGAGACAGCATATTTTCCACAAAACTATCCAACAATGCACCTCGTTTCACACAAAAGTGAACAGCTTTTCGGGAAATTATTGGTAGCTAAGATATAGACTAAACATCTCGATGGGGGCAATGTTTTTAATATGGAGAATCAACGGGAAGGAAATTATTTTAATTCATTGACGATCGACATGTGTTTTACGTAGAAACCGTATTTGATGAATGTTTTTGTGGGTTAGATACACAAATGTAAACAGAATAATCACTGGAATTCCAAGCAGAAGGCCGAGAGCGTAGAATGTGAGACAGCGATAATATTGTATTTGACATCAGATTTGTGAACTAAATATTAAATTAAGCCCATAAGCTACACTGACAATACAAATTGTCAGGCTATTTCGAATATCGATATTATTAACTATTGAAGCAATTAATCCATAGAAAGACGAAGGAATTCGTCGATAAGAGACAACTGAAGAAAAAAATGGAAGTGATGATGTCATTAACAGTAAGTTGCGTGCAATAGTGACATAGTACAATATCGAGAACAAAGAGATCAGTTTGAGAAAGGACTATTGAAATTAAAGATGAACCCTGGCTGTAGACAAGTATTTCAGATTCTTCAAACTTTACTGTAGTTTGCTTTCGATATGCTTGAAGATATTTCTTCAAGCGAGGTTTAGAAGGTGAAATTTACATGATACAGAGCACCGGTTATTCGAAGCATATCGAAAGAAATGCATTACAGTTCTTTGTGTAAGTTTCTGGGAAATTAAACGAAATATTATTATTCGACAATAGGATGTTATGACATTGGTCGATGCTACGGTTTCTTTGAAAGCATATTTGTACTGATCGTATGCTAATAAATAAACAGTGATGACAGGAGCGAACAGTTCGCTTATCATCGTACTGTTTAACATTGTGATGTATCAATCGAAACGATGAAGTGACAGATTGTTCAAGAATAGTCGCCTTTTAATTTGACTACATATGAAAATATTGTGTAAATTCTGCATTCACATAGATATGAAGAATGTTTAATTTATCGTTCTCATTTATGATTCGCGAAAGGAATTTTCAGCAAACTCTTCCTTCCCTGATGCTGATTATTTTTGGATCTTTATCACACAGAGTCAGTGCCATCCAGTATATCCTTCTGCTATGATTATTCTCGATCGATCAGATTCACACAAAATGAATTTCTCAATCAATTAAACAAGTCGATCGAGAAATGCTCGATTTATTCCAGTTCTTTCCGATATGCGCGACATTAACACACCACGTTGCCGCCTTCGACGCATTCGTATAAGACACAGAAGAACAGATTTATAACTCGAAAGTTTTCTTCTTCTAAGTACACATGCCTTTTAGTTATCGATGTTTTCAAAAGTAGTAGACTCGTCGTGGGTATTCTCAAGTAAATCATGGTGACATTTAAGATAATGTTGATGGCGTTAGGTGCGGAATTATTGTCTATAATGAATGTAAAGGTATGAATGAAAGTGCTTTCGTATTGCAAAACTTCAAATTGATTTTAGATAAAGGGAATAACTATAGTGAACTCTAAAAGTGATCTAACACGTAAGCTGACAAATTGGATATCTACGATGAATGAATCAACCAGCACGAGTTTTCTCTTATAATCCCTAGTAAATGAAAGCTCGTTTCCAACTGAAAGTTTTCATTGATGGTGTTGAAGTAGCTTGATTGTTTACGATGTGCCCAGTGAGAAAGAAGCATACCTTTCAGATCGAATGTCTATGAAATGCGCTATATCGAGCTGTCGGGAGTGGCGAACCGAAGAGACGCCAACAGCCGACTGCGAGATGAATGTTTTGATTCATCTTTTGAAAAGTTTTTTTATAAAATCCGTTGAGTGACAAGAAAATCTGTGAAGGACTAAATGAGTCTGCTTCGACAAGTGTTGTTTAATTTCTATGTGTAGTCACAGGTAAAGGAGCTATCCATTCGTCATTGTCAAACTTATTTTTGTCTCGTGTAATTCGTACTGTCAGTTGTAAACTAGCCTTATTTTTTATGCAAATACTATCTTGAATTTCTCAATATAAAAAGCGTTTTGAAAGAATATTCCATTACGTGACGTTTATTTTGAAAAGCATTCAATCGAAGGCAAAGCGAATCGTTCTCGACGAGCGTTACTTGTAATTAGTTTTATTGCATGTGATGATGTCACCAATTTTGTAAGCAATTATTGAAGACGGAATCGCTGAATTCGATGATTATCCTCATCTGCGACGTATAAATAAGTTTCGCTAGGATCAAGAGCCACATCACCCAAACCATTCAAAAGCCGATCACTATAACCTGACGCTCCATTTATATCGCCAGCTACAAGTGATCCTGCATTGGCACCGATCGTCCATTTCATGACACGATTATTGTTACGGTCAGAAACGTAGATAGTTTGACCGTCACGAGTGATACAAAGTCCTGCAGGGCTATACAACTGGTTCAAACCTGTTCCTGCACCATTACCACCTGCTACTGTCGTTCCCGTTCCATTACCACCGATAATGAACTTCTGAATTCGATGGTTGGCGGAATCACTGACATAAAATACACCTCGATCCTCGTCTAAATGCACAAAGCGAGGATTAGAGAGTTGATTATTCGTAGAGCCTGAAGTTCCCATTTTTCCCGCAACGACCGTTACATTCGTAGCATTCGGTGCCAATTTTACCACTGCAGAGCACGTCCACGATGCTACAAATATATTACCAGAACGATCGACTGCTACACCGTACGCTTGATAGAGCCCGTTGAGTAGACAAGAACTTGTCGAATATCCAGAGGCTGGAAAGCTTTTAACGATAGTCCCTTTTTGTTGAACAAGCAGAGTGCCACCGTTAAGCTGTCGATCGGTCATATAAATGGTATTCGAGTTATCAACAAATATATCCATAGGTTGACTTAAACCGCTGGACAATAGTATACGTTCTTTGCGCGAAAATGGTGAGAAAGCTAAAAAACTTTGATTATATTCATCGGCAACGTACAGAGTTCCATCCACTGGAGAAACGTACATTCCCCAAGGTCCATTCAATATGGTGGCATTACCACTAGTATTATTACAATAACCGGCCACTGTTTGGCCAATACCTATGGCAGGAACTACAATAATGAAAGAAAAAAAATATTATACTGATAATAAAGAAGAAATTCTCGGATAAAAGTTAAATTAAATTCACTTACGGATTGAACATCGATATGTGAAATCACAACTTGGTTGGCAAGTAAGATTAAGATCTGGTCGACATGCATCTGCCTGTGCACAAATTTGATTTTGAAAAAGTTGTGATTGACATACTAAACCATTCCAGAATGTGTTCGAAGGACATTGGCAAGTACTACTGTTCATATTACATATTTCGTATCGGCTTTGAAAACATTTATCACATGATTGGTTGTGACTATTAGCATAGATGCTGGGTGATAATTTAACACTACCAACAGATGATCGAGGTTTTGAAGACGATAGACTAATAGTACCAGTCGTTAAATCAGCGTTCCACAAACGACATTGCTGTGAATCCACATCAAAGTCGAATGCTCGACAATCTATGCGTATATTACATTGAATGCCACATCTTATGAAACTTTTTGCCTGAAGTGTCAGGAAAGGAGGAAAAGAATTGTTTATAGGTATAAACTCTGTACCCATATTACTGATATCATATACCGACTGAATTTGCATACTTGATTGTACCAGAAACAATAGTCCAACAAGAAGTGAGCATGTTTGGTGAAAATGTCTCATTGTATAGGACGTTCACCAAGTGTTGAAAAGAAATAATGACGGTTTGTGTAAGAAATACATCGTATATTTAAATCAAAGCAAAAATTTTATTTACTATGAGTGCTTTCTTATTTTTAAACTTTGATTCCTACAAAGTCACATGCAAAAAAGCTGTAATTTGAAAAGTTCTCATTCAATCAGAAAATTAGTTTCTACAAGCATTGAGTTTCAAAAAGAAATTACTTGATTTAGTCCTGTTTCTAAGTAAACCGCTGCGAAATACTTGGAGCAATCCAAAAGTAGCGAAGCATAAAGATGCTTTATTTCACGAGAAAAAGATCGCGGATAATTTCTTTCTTTACCAGTAAATAGAGCGTGCTCCATTCTATTTATTTATCGTATTCGATAAGTCCTGGTTCTCTTTTCTATGGTAGTGAAATTTTGTGAAAAGTACTTTTGCCCAGAACTCGCTGATACAAAAACTGATTTTTCTTCGATTTTTGCCCAAACCGACCAGGTCTGTGTTAATCCGTCGCGTCCAACATGGTCACATCATTGATCATCCCTATGTGTCAACTAATGTTTAGGACCTTTGATTGACCAAAATCAAGCAGCAAATACCTTCGTGCGATACTGATTGTATTAAAACCTATTTTTCATAATGTTAGACCACATGTGCATAGTAATGTAGCCGATTATATGGAATCTTACGGTCTTGCATCAATTCCTCATCCACGAAGTTCTCTAGATTTATCGCCTTGATACTTCTGATTATTCGATTTTATCAATGATAATCTGCGATCAAGCAAGACAATTCAGATTCGTTACATAATGCTACGGTCAATTTCATACACTCCATAAATCATCGAGAGATGAATCGAAAAAATGCAGCTCTGTGTCGATAATCACAGACATTATTTTTAACATTTGAGGACAATCATAAGAAAATAAAAACGAAAGAAAAGAATCAGCCTTTACGCCAGCGAGTTCTGGGCAAAAGTACTTTTTCATAAAATTTTTCTCACGTAGGAGAGAGCGAAGACCTATCGAATACAATAGATAAATAGAGCGAAGCACGCTCTATCTACTGGTGAAAAACGGAATTGTCCTCGACCGTTTACTTCGCAAAATAAGGTACCTCCCTCACTACTTTTGAATTGTCCTCAATATTAGTTGGAAAAAAATTGTCTCTATTTTGCAACGTTCTTTTAACCTAATGAAGAAAAAAAGACATGATTGTTTTGTCAGGAGTTATGAATTAATAATTCTTTGTCGTTATTCAGACTGCTCTTCTCATTATTTCTTGTATATTCAAGCGGAATGATTGTGTCGTCGTTACAATAGATAGAGTTTTCATAACACAATACAAGACGTTTCAAAAAAAATAACTGATAGAATATAAAACAGTTGTCTATTATAAAAGCATTTACATTTTTTCTACAGGACTTCAAACAATTTTGTATAACAATCAATAGTTAAACAGAGTTTTTCCGTTAATTAATAAGATAGAGTTCTCATTTTAGTATGCCATACTTTCTCTGTCTCTCCTCCTCTTCTTCTATGCTTCGAAAAAAAACACTTCGATGTATGAAAAAGTATTATTATTCACATAAACTGACAACTTTTCCATCGATTATGATGCGCTTTTGTTAAATTAGAACGATGGAAAAAAGCATTGGTTAATAAAGAACGGTTATATTTCACTACAGTGTACTTTGTTTTCACCCAGGATACATTTTACACATCAATTGATAAAATCCGCTAACTCTTCCAGTGAATCCGTCAAAGATGTACTAGCAACATTTGCTGTTGGGACCCGGATTAAGCCCAAGGGGAATGATTCCCTGTCACCCTCACCCTCAAGATGGTCCGTGTTTTTCTTCGTATCATTAACGATTCGTGCACTAGAGATAGATGTCAATGAGAAAGTGGATGAAATAAATTGTGTTGAGAATCTTATGGAACCAACAGAGAGCTTTGTTTTTCTTCTATTCTAACTTTGCATCTCTTATAATGAATGGATTTTGACTAAGTTTAATATTGCCTATGGCAGATGTTTACCGTACGATTACGCGAAAACTAAATGTATCGCGCTGTTCATTGCCGTTCTTTAGCACAGTGAAAAGCAGTGTTTGTATGTTCTTCTCGATATTGAGGTCACTTAAATGATTGTACGCTTTATCTTTTCCTTTTTCTATATATTTCACTATTTATAGTCAAAATACTTCCATTTTCGATCTTCTCTTCTTTTCTAATCGTCTTTGAATCGATGCTCGCGTCATAATCGAACACGCGCTTATCACTCTCCAACGTATATTATCTCTTTGTTTCATTCCTCCTTTTCCTTTGACATATATACAAGAATATACATTATACTTTGATGCTCTATATCAACTCAGAAAGCATCACAAGTATATTTCTCTAACAGTTTCCTAAGTGTCACCTCAAACAGATGAAAAATCTAATTAAACACCTGTTTAAATACCCTCTGTCCTTGTCATGGATGGCCTTTGTTACTTGAGAAACATAGCCCGTTTTGAAAACAATGTATAGCACCAAAAGTAACACAAGGAAAATATCCGTAAAAGCAGTTTTGCACGGAATGAATGATTTCTTCTTATGACTGCAGGTTGATTTGTTTCATAGATGCGTAAAGTCGTAACGCACATAACATTAACAGCAAAGAATTGACATTTCTCCGAACATAATTTAGCATCAATCGGTCGCTAGAATTCTATGACTATGTGAAACGATTGGATCTGCTGTCGGATGGGTAAAGTTCAATAGTGACAAAATTCATCATCATCTACTATAATAGCTGCACGTTGGTATGCAAGAACAACATGAAAACTATGCCACGTGACAGAACAGAAAAAAAAGCTGTGTTTTTATCTGAATAGACGATAAAGTAATGACATTTATTTTTCTTACACTGTGTATTTTCCCTCATCCAATACTGCTGTTTTTTTTTCTACACGTCAATTGCAAAAGCAACTTGAAACTTGAGTTACTCGCAAACGTCCATTAAATAGTATAGCCAGGTTTTATTTCTGATTATTTTACTACCAATCATATCCATCTCACTAATGAATAATTCCTTTGCAAACCACCCATCACGAACATACACTAATCAAAGATATATGATGAGTTCGCCGAGCGAGATAAACACCAATAATTATGGTGTGCTTCTGTACCCTATTCAGCAGCCTATAAGCAACTTTCCGATTAATGATCCCCACCATCAATGGCAATTCAACTATTATAATCAGCATCCTCCATTAACACAATCCATACCAGTGATCAGAGAGCCGTCGATCGTTATCCCTACACCATCGTCAATTCCAATATCCGTACCAAATGAAGCATCGAATATACCACACCATCACACAGATATGCGAAATGAAAACGAAAGACCAGTTTCGGGTATAAATCTATCTAAAAAGCCATGTATCTATATTGTCATTTGTTCGTGTACTATAGCACAGCCGAAGCAAAGTCAGTCAAAGGTCAAGAATACCACTTCACAAGATTCTACAGTATGTCATTGAATGCATTCCATATTGAGCTTAACACAGAATATTTCCCTGCATTGTAGAATAAAAAGAAGAAGCCGCTGACCGTGTTGAGAGAACTAAGCACGGAACATCTTGGAGCAATAAAAGCTACTTTTGAGAGAGCTCTTCATGAACATTGCTTGCCGAAGACGGATCACGAGCAACATATGATCATTTACAATCGTTTACGGGAGATTATCCTTAGCGAAAGACCAGGTAATTAAGAGCAAAGAGTTCTCTTCTATTAATCAATAAACCATTAACTATTGCAACAGACGCACGGATCATTTTATATGGCCCATCATCATGCGAATGTTGTTTAAAAGAGGAGAATACTATCGAGATTGATATTGAATTTAAGGAAACTTTACCTTATGAAACCTTAAAAGAATTACTCGAAATTGTTCGTCGTTCAGGTATAGAATTAATGTCGTTTTGTCTAACAATCAAATTATCATCTGCAACTTTTAGTACACTTCAAAAATGTTCATCTCAACACCGATTGCGACCCGTTATCAGTAGATCTATCGGTGATCAACTCAAATATCCTAGTGCGATTGACGGCAAATAATACACGCGCCGTTCGATTGTCCCAAATAATTCAAATCTATACAAAGTTTGATGAACGTGTACTTCCATTACTGCGTCTCTTTCGAATCCTAGCAAAAGTCAGTCCTACTGAATCGAAAGAAAGATACTAACTCTCACTATTTTAACTATTCAGATATGTAATACAGACAAACCTGATCTTGGAACTTTTCATCCAATGGTCTTTGACTTTCTGGCCATTTATTTTCTTCAACAACTCGATCCATGCGTTGTCCCATGCCTTCATGAATATGTAAGTGAATTTTTTCTGCTGAAAAAAGTAAATCTGTTGTTATTCATTGGGGAAACAAGGTATACGGCATAGAGAAAGTGCCATTCATATTGAACAATGACCAATATCCGGATTTTTTTCAAAAATGCAATGCATACGTCGATCAATGGAAATCAAAAAATAGCGCATCTACCGAGCTGCTCTTTCTTCAATTACTCTCCTTCTACACTGAAAAATTCCATAAAAAACGATTCATTGTTTGTATACAAACACGAATGCCTGTTAAAAAAATTGCAAGACAAATACACAACCAAAAACTCTTTTGCTTGGGTAAGTTTTTAACTTGGTACAGCGAAAGCCTGCATGATTATCCTTCCATACAGATCCGACATCACTCAGTCGAAATTTATGCTACACCATGAAAGCGAATCGTTCATTTCAATACTTTCAACATACACTTAAAACAGCTCTCAACTACTTTTGCCAACAACGAAAGGATGTAGATGGTGCTGACATTCCGCCGAAAGAACTACTTCGCGCGATAGAGAAATCCTACAGCTTACTTATTGAACATTTTCCAAAAGAAAACAGTTACTGGGATCGTGTACAACAAGAAGATATACGAGAAGATTATAAGAGAAGGTTCGACCATATAGAGCATTCATTACACGAACCGAACGACAAAGAAAAAGTTTCGTCTACAAATAATCCAGTTGAAGAGGATCAGTCGTTTAAATCGTAAGGAATATAACTTTATTCAAGTAATATCATCTCAAATCGAGTGTTTCAGTGAATTGGAGAGTTCTTACGGCGAAAAATTACTTTCACTAAAAGATCTTTGCATAGATCTCAATAGAACTCAGAAAGAAATTCTATGTAAAGAATACGAACAGCAAGGTATACAAAAAGGAATCTCAGGAGAAAAGTTACATTTTTCATTTTATCACAGTTAAACTGTTCAATGCTGCAATCCTACAGATAGTAAATAATATCAAATCAATAACAGAACCTACGACACTTTTGTATGATATGCAAGCGCAAAATTTTGGCGCTCGCCAAGTTCGAGATTCTTTATCAAAAAAAAAAAGACACCTTTCCGAGCACGTCATTTTCTCCTTTTAAGGGTGCACCACCTGTATGTACGATATGTCATGAGAGTGATCATACTAAATCTGATTGTCCGGAATTAATTCTGCCCGAAATGGTTAATTGTCCTGCAAATAGTAGAGAATGGCTTGATACACTTTCGCGTATATGTCAACAAGTGACTGGTATTCGTGTTTACAAGTAAATCAGTATTGTGTAAATCCATTCTGTAGGTCAATGTAAACCGACGAAACAAGACGCAAAAAATCGTCAAGACATTTTGAATTATCTGCAAACTGAGTTTCGAAAATCTTATCCTTCTTGTTCTGTTCATGCGTACGGATCATCTCTTAATGGATTTGGGCTTCGACAGAGTGATCTAGATATCTGTGTTCTATTGACAGACAATGTTTGTTGTTCGCTTGGCTACTATCCTATTTTGACTTTTTTGCTCTAGTACGAAGAGTTGGACATTGGTATTTTGGAGAAGTTATTTCAAATTATGCGTTCAACTCCTCATGTGTTCAGAGATGTGGAATTCGTACGCGATACAAGAGTGCCTATTATTCGATCGATACATTCTCCATTGAATATTGAAATTGACGTTACTCTTCATAATGTCTTTGTACGTATTTCATTCTCGTTCTATCTGCGACTATTTACTAGTGATTCAGGCGATGGAAAACACTCGTCTACTGAGAGTCTATTCGATGATCGATTCACGTGTGCCTCAACTTGGATATATGGTGAAACATCTGGTCAAGGTATGAAAGCAGCGGATCACATTTGACTTCGTTTGCTCATCATTGTTTATCATAGATATGTGACATTGGAGATGCAAAATTCGGAACGTTATCAAGCTATGCGTATATTATTATGTTAATACATTTTCTACAACAAATTCAACCACCTGTCCTTCCTGTTCTTCAACAAGTTTGACTTGTTTAATTTCTGTTACTGTGATGAATGTAAAAGTTTAGTTAAGCGACAAGAATTCCAAGGAAAATATCGTTATTCGAGACGGCAACAGATGGAATGTATATTTCTACGATAACATATCAAACTTAGTAATTATTCATTTAATTGAACGTTTCTATCTTATTAATGCAATTTTAGAGACAGGTTTGGATAAATAAGTATGGGCCAAATACATTAACAACCGGTGAACTATGGATTGCCTTTTTACGATACTACGCTGATCAATTTGATTACGAAAAACATGTTGTTGCCATACGACAAATTGAACCGTTGACACGTGATGAAAAAGGATGGTTTCATCGAACGATTGCCATTGAAGATCCATTCATACTGACGCATAATTTAGCCGAGAGACTGTCGTTGCAAAGTAAGTTCCGAAATGGAATCTTACTTTTATCCTTTTTGAACTATAGAATGGACTTTTATTCGTCGCGTGTTTATTCGAGCTAAAATACAATTCTCCACACAATTGAATGACACTACTATTCATCAATATAAACTTGGTTGGATACAGGTTAGGTTTTATTCATATATGTCAGATGAATAAGCTCTTTGTTTTTTTAGAAATACTTATTTGATGTGAATTTTCTCTGTCCCGAGAGGATCTATAAACCCGTAGAAAAGTCTGCCAATAAGAATAATAAAAAAGCTAAAAAAGTCGAACAAAGTAATAAACCGTTAAGACCTTTGATGGGAATCGATAGGAATCTAACTGTTGGCATCCCGAATCAGTCAGCGGCTGCTCGATCAACGGCTCAATGATGTTACAACAGTGAAATGCTTTCTCTTTATTTTTCTGATGAAGAAAAGAAGTTTTCGAATAATCTGTGTGTCATTTACCTAGAAACAATTATGAATAAAAGCCAAACAAAGGGTCTTGTGCTTTCTTTTTCTTCTGCCGTTTTGTTCGAACTGTTGTTGTTTCGCCATTCTCTGTATTATTTGCCGTGACTTCCACTAGTGCATTCTTTCGCGCATAGATTTCAGCGATTGTTATCGATTCAGCGATATCCTCGCCTTTGTTCGCTATTCCTAATTCCACACAGAGACGACGAGCATTCTGGATGCTCAGTTTATCAAATTTATGTTCCAGCACCAGTCGCCCATCACGCAGAAGTGCTGGATCTATTCCTGTCATATCACAATTGAATGTACAAATGATCTGTTGATGCATCACATCGCCAAGCAAACCGTCAGATAAATTAAGCAAATTCGAAACAGCTTGATTGGCAAAGACGGAATCGTGTTGTCGATCACGGATGATGTTTTCAGCGTCTTCAACAATCAGAATGGAATTCGGGTTTTTCATCAGGAATGGCAGAAAACCAGGTTTAGTCATGTCCTAGAAATGTACAACAGAATCAAAGGTGATTGATGATCAATCATTTTAGTTCGCTCACTTTAACCATATCTGGTGGAACATAGATCAAACTCTTATCTTTGATTTCGTTGATGAGATAACGAAGATAATAGGTTTTTCCAGTGCCCGGCGGGCCATGCAATAGAGTGATACCCGTTGAGTCTTCTTCTTGGAGCGTTTCAATAAGTTCTTCGTGAATCTCTGGAAAGTCATCTCCATAATGAAGTTTCAGATCGGGAATGTGCGGTTCCTTCATGTGAATCGATGACGTGTAGAAACCACGTCGTTCGTCATGGCAAACCATTTGTAAAGTAGCTTCGGAAACAGGAAATATTTTGAATTTGGATAATTGTTGAAGAAGCGTTCGAGCTCGCTCGGCTGTTTGTGGCACATGAAAAATCTAAAGAAGCATTGAAAGTAATTCATTATTTGCTCGATGATCATTACTTGAAGTGAACTAAAACAATTGAAACTTTTATCTTCATTATCTTTTTCTAAATTGTTCGGATTATCGACATCGCCATAACTTGTGAAGCCATTTAGAAGTTCAACTAAAAACAGAATCGGAATTTCATAGTGACTAACAGCTAAGAAATGTTTACTAGAAACGTAATTTTCAAGATCAATGTAAAGTTTTGTGAATAAAGACTTGTTCTCGGTTGTATCGTAACTTGATTCGTAGAAAAATGTATCAGGATCGAGTTGGTATTCATTAACAAGAAAATCGATCGTGCTAAAATGAGGAATTGAGATATAAAAACCATAGGAGATCTATTTGAGTTACCTTGTCATGTGCCGCCAACCGTTTTTTTTGCGTTTCGAAGTCCGTAGATGTCGATTTGCACGTCCATAGATACTGTTGAGACCAGGAGAAAACATCTCCTGAGCATTGTAAGTTCCTTGCTCTAATTTTTCAGTCATGATGCAAGGAAGAACTCGATACTTCATCGCAAATTGTGTCGGCCCGTAAATAATACTTGATTGTTGATTTGTTAATCGCAAAATATCATCATTTGTCAACGGACTATTTTCACTTCCACCAGCATATTTTCCTTTTAAAGTAATAGGAATAATTTCTTCTTTGACACTCATGTTGTGAAGAAAAAAAATGTGTGCTGTATTTCTGATCGTCGTGCGCAAGGTGAATTTTTTTTTGCGCTTTCTTCCTCTATTTATATCGACGCGTTGTGCAATACTGCTGGGAGAAAGTTGACTCAGTATGTTTTTAACTACCAAAATTGTATCTTGCACCAGTCAGAGAAATATACAAATGGTATCGAAATCCCCAGTTAAGAAAAATCTGGAATAATGCACATTGTGAAGGAAAGGCTATTTCGACGTTTATTGGCTTATATAGTTCACCTTCATAGCCTTCTCGTCGAGCACGGACCTCTCCCTTTATTTGAGGATGTGTGAGCACTTCTAATTATATACGTTGTATCCAATGAAGAAAAAACTATGATTGTGAGTATGCAGACGATACAAGATAACGTCATGCTAAAAGTATTGCACAGTTACTCTCACATCAAGCTGCAGTTTAATGGGAACATTGTCCGGTTCAAAAGTCTTCGATGGTCAAAAAAGGATTTACGATCTATCACATTTTAATCATACTCTCAAAACAGATTCAATCACGTGAATTAAGACAGAAATATATGACATACAATTTACGAGTTCCTTTCGATTAATGAGTGCACGGCAAATTTTCTGCGAAGTCTAATTTCAGAACACGCCACTATTTCCAATTCTGATGATTCTTGGAAAATGGGTGCACGTCACTGCAAACTCTCGCCAGTGATTAAAATCGTAAGTAGTCCAGAAGCAGTCTGAATGATTGAGATGAGAACAAGGATGAGATATTAAGAATGGAAGTGACCATGAGTGTATTTGATATTGCAAGAGTGAAATTCTGCGACGTCCGCTGGTTTTGATGGGTAAGAGAATGTATCTTATCTCTTCATTTCGGATAAAGCTTCCTTGAAATTTTTTAATGATTCGCATGGTACTCGAAAATATTAAGATCTCCAAATTTTGAGAATTTTAACATAGAGAAATCCAAATCAGAACTATAAATTTCCAATTTGCCACTCTATGTGTAAGAAATAAGATTCAATACGCAAACCGTCACAGAAATCTCAAGATATTTGTATTTTATTCAATTTCTTGAATATTAAATAACCAAAGGCGATAAAAAAACTACGTACTTGAATTATTAAATTTTATAAAAATTCAAATAGTTTTCAGTTTTAATAGCTAAAATATTCGAATGCAAAAGAAGTGCAGCCATGGGTGGTTCTTTATATCCAACAGTTGATTTAATATTTCCATTTGATGTTATATGCATAAGAAGTGAATTCTTATGATCTAATACAAGCCAATCATTACAATTGAGTAAACACATTGAATAATAACTAAAAGGTTTAGAATCAAGTTGAATTAACCAAAGTCGATCAAATGTTTTACAAGATCGCAATTCTATATGTGTTTTATGTCGACTTTTAATTGCCAAAGCAAGTGTTTCATTGTTATAAATGATATCTGTTATATAATCATGTTCTTGAGATAAATGGGAAAGTTTCGATCGTTGAATTAATTGAAAAGATGATAAAAGATCAAATTCGAAAATTTCTGTACTACATTGAGATGATAAAAGATATAAAGATGTTTCCGAACATGCACAAAGCCGCCATTTTTTCTCCGGATCGATGTTAATTTGTTCAATGGATTGAAAATTTCCATCGGTAAGAAAAATCTCTTTATTAGAAATGATTAAAATAAATTTCTCTAAAGTTGATGACCAACATACATGATGAATATAACCATTTTTCCATAAAATCTTTTTTATAATTGTACATTCTTTATTAAATAAATGTAATTCGGAGTTTTCATGCATTAATAACATAATTTGAACAATCGATTGTTTTAAATGGAGATGAGAGAAGTGTAAAATCAATTTCATTGCTTTTGATTTGCTCAATAGAAAGACAATTTTGATTTAATTCGAATGAACGAATATTAATATGATAAGATATTTGATGAAGTTCTTTTATTTGTTGCTGAAGAATATCAATAGTTGATTGAAATAATTTAATATCGTCTTCCGTAGTATTTTGTTCATGAATAAGTTTGTTGAGTTCGGATTCTATTTCATTTATTTCTTTTCGATGATTTTCTGTATGTTTCAAATAATATTCTTCAAGTTCTCGACATTTCTTTTCATAAAAATTATTTATTGTTTTATAAGATTCATTACGCCATTGATTGAGTTTGTCGAGACAATTTCCAATTAATTTCATTTTTGTTTTATTCATTATTTGATCATTAAGAGTATTAATTTCCTCAGCTAAAGGTTTTAATTGTTCATTAATTGATTCATAATGTTCATCCAGATGATCGGGACAAAAAGTTTTATCACAACAATGACATAAAATACCTAACGTCGAACAGCAAGATTCAATAATACATGATTGAGACATATTGACTTGAATAAAAGATCTTAATTAAATGAGTTAACAATGGAAAAAATGTTTTCTCTTATATACTCGAGTAAAAACAAATATTTCTTCAAGACTACAGTATATCAAATAACGTCGTAAGTAGAAGAAAATGATGAAATAAAATGTGTATACGTTAAAATGTCATTATTTGACGTAGTTCTTCATCATTCTATATGAATAATAAAGATTATCTTCGCTGATTCATCCTGAATAAATCAAGATTTTCAATAGGTTTTATGTAAACTTAATAGATTCTCCGCTTGAATAGGGTGTCCCCTTGTGATGTATTGCTGGTTATCCACGGTTGAAAAAGTTGTGCAGTAAGGTACCGCTGAGTAATAGTAGAGTTCACTGATAAGGAGACCATCGGGAAAAAATATAAGAAGAATTGGGAGAACGCAGATGCAAGAAATGAGTGAGTCCTGCGCATATAGTTACATCTTGTGATGGTTAGGCGATTGATAGCTAAAAAATAGTTTATAGTCTGTGTTTTTTATCGCGTTTAGAATGAAACAAGACGCATGGTGATATGAAGAAATTTCTGTTTTATACACATATAGACTGCTAAAATGGCTCATATGGAGAGAAACGTTGAGAAAATGGTAAATAATGCAACATGTCACAAATCTGTGCACCTTCTTTTCTTTGTTTTTGATGCCGTAGGATTGTGTTCACCATTTTATATTCACCTCTGAAGTACGACGTCATGTGTTCCATATGAGTATAAATATTGAGGATATTCGAAACTCAATCTTGGTATTACTAGTGCTTATTTATAGAATTTGTTTTTTAACTTTCCAAAACCTTAGTCATTAAGAAATCGTTCGTCGCCACCTCATCAATCTCATTATCAGTCGAATACAGTATGAAAAACGAATCATATGCATGAATTTCATTTGGAAATTTGCCTATACCTAGCCCTTGATAAGGAGTTTTTCGTTTCGAAATGATCTTCTAATTGTGCTCCACAATCAATCAATATCCGCACGTTATATGCTGCTCCCTCCTGTGTGTTTGAAGCATAAAACTATGCTACGCATCGTTCTGGTCCTACTCTGAAAATAATTCGCCACGCGGCCTCTGCTGACATACACACCTTGAAGAAATGCATAAACATTCCTTTTCTGTTCTAATCGTTGGCACGTGGTCATCTTTTCTTTTCTTTCTCTCTCTCGCTCGCTTATCGCTACACTTTGTTCGCCACTCGAACAATAGCAACAAAAAGAACCAGGACGCTTGATACAAGTTCGAACATCAGAATATAGTTACATCATGGAGAAATCTTCTGTCGCTAAACCACACTATGAAATCAATGATACAAAAAATGTTCATCTATTAGAAGAACGACAATCTGCAACATTTAATGTTGAAAAATTCACCCAATTTATGTTTGGCCAATCAGATAATTATTATGAAATAAACGCCCGACGAGAAATCAGTTCCGTACAAATCCACCTGTCTTTTCTTCATAATGATTTTTTCTTTTCAGTCCGTTTAGCTCTTGCTCATCCGATTCATCAAACGCATTTACCATTTGAATACCTTAACGCTGATGAATACTATTCGTTAGTGATCCGTAAAAGTCTACTGGCAATCGAAGAAGCCAACCGTCTAAAAATCACCAATGATAAACATCGTCAATGGTTTTTACATATATTTTCCAGTGGTCGATTTGCGTTCTATATTCATGCCGTGATGTGTACATATGCTATCGAAACGATGTCCAATGAAGAACAAAAACGAAAGTTTTTACCATTGGCCAAGTCCTATCGTATGACAACTGCTTATACCCAAACTGAACTTGGTCATGGAACAGATTTGCGACGACTGGAAACGGAAGCGATTTTTGATCGAGAAACAGATTCGTTCATATTTAATACACCGACATTGACATCGACAAAGTTTTGGCCGGGAGCATTGGCACGTTCAGCAAATTATGCGCTTCTTATGGCACATTTGTACACACCTGATCGCAATCATCCGTGTGGAAATCAGATGTTTTTAGTGCAACTCCGAGATTTAGATACACACGAACTCTTGCCAGGTTGTTGTTCCTTATATGTTGTTAACATCGACGAAGAAATGAAAATGAACGAATTCCTCATTTAGGAGTTGACGCAGGTGCGATAAGTACACGATTCAATGATTGTGCCGGTGATAATGGTTATTTACGATTGACCAATGTACGTGTTCCTCGCACAAATATGTTAATGAAAGCAGCTGAGGTAAACGTTTTTCTCACAGGAGTCAATGTATTATATACGGCATAGGTACGTTTCAGGTCGATCGGGATGGAAATTTTCATCGCTGCGGCGATGCTCGTGTTTTGTATGGTGCAATGGTTCATATGCGTATCCATCTTAGTTATTCATTTTCCGTATCACTTGCTCAAGCTATTACCATTGCTACGCGCTACTCTGCTGTTCGATTCCAAGGATCCAATCCACAAGGGTATGTTCTATTTGGCGAATAGAACAATTTAACTACGTTCATTCATATACCTAGAAATGAAACACGCATACTTGACTATCCGTTACAACAAGAAAAACTTGTTCCATGTTTAGCATCAGCCTATGCTTTTCTCGTCACCTTTTTAAGTTTGAATAATTATTTCAACGATTTAAAATCAAATGAAACTATGTTTTTCCGCCAACTACCAGAAGTAGAGAGAATAATCCCATAGATTCACTCTCGTAACCGATTTGACATATTTAGCTTCACGCATTAGCTTCTGGTTTGAAAGCATATACATCGTCAGTTGGCGAACGATTATCTCAAAACTGCCGTGTATCATGCGGTGGCCATGGATTTTTATTCGCAAGTGGCATTATTGGAATACGAAATTTCCTTGATGCATCATCGAGTGCCGAAGGTGACACTGTTGTGTTGTATCAACAGACAGCAAGGTTTGACTTTTGCATTTTCATTCGTTTTGAGCTGATGGATGAATCTAGATATATTTTGAAAATGATTCAACGTGTGGAAGAAGACAGTGAGAAAGGTCTTGACGCGTCGACGGCTTATCTGCGAGCAAAAGTTTGGTCTGGAAAGACGATGATCAACCTGGACGATTACTGTCATATTTTCGAAAGTCGTGCGCAATTGTAAATATGGAACTGCTGAGAAAATCTTTTCTTGTCTACCTGTATTCAATGTAGATTGGCAAAAGAAGCGTTGGCACAAATGTTTGAATCATCACTATCTCCGTATGCAACATTTTTGAAGAATTCTATTCAACTAGTACAGTTGGCTAAGGTTATACAAGCAATTATTTGTTTCATCGGCATGGTTATCATGTTCTTTTTTTCTAGGCGCATGTGGAAACATACTTAATGCGATCATTCTTGGAACAAGTGAATAAAGCTGCTCACCATCTGGAATTCTCAGTGATTCTCGAACAACTTTTCTACGTCTTCGCGATTCATACGTTACGCAATGAGTCAAAGGATTTTATTCGAGTATCTATATCTTACTCCTCTAACCCCATACACTTTCATTCGATTTTCAGTTGAATCTTCTGACAGCCGAGCAAATCTATGAACTTGAAAACCGTTTATTACCGGATTTGTATACACGACTTCGTCCGAATCTTGTTCCATTAGTTGATGCATTCGATTTTCACGATGTGGAACTCGGTAATCCTTATGGTTTCTCTTGTGTCTTGACCGATTTATGCGTCCTTTCTTGATTTAGACTCTTGTTTGGGACGATACGATGGGCAAGCATACGAAGCTTTAATGGAACGTGCTCGACTTAACCCATCCAATCAGCAAAAAGTAAGAAACATTGATTTTTAACGATGTGAAAGTACATGTCATGTTAACTTAGGTTCCTCCTGTTTGGAAAGCAATAAAACAAGGGACACTCTCGAAACTTTAGTCTTCCTCTTGATATGTTTTAAAATTTTCATTTCGATAAAGTGATTTTTGATTTTTGGTGATTTGATCATGGAATAAACGTATGTAAAAGAGAGTAACGAACCACAATCTAAAACTGCTGGTTATAATAGAGCCTCGTCGGGGAAAGTTATGTCTTTGTGCAGACCTGATATGCGTCTTTATTTTTTTGTTTTCATTCAATTAAAAAATGGATCTGATCTTTCCCTTTGCGTATTGTAGGTGTTTCGATCACAGTTTTCTGTTTTCGATGAGGCAGCAGTAGTGTTAATCTCGTACTATAATTGTGTAATATGAGATTCGTTTAGCTGGTATATAAAGTCAAACGAGAACGGTTTGGAAATGACAAACATCAAAATCAATATTTTCATTCGATTGAGATCGACGTTTTATGGCTGCTGCTACTACTCTCTTTGTTCTTCTCGTTTCATGCGTGATATTGACTATTTATGGATTACCTGTAAGACTTCTTTGAAAGAACTTTCAGTAATATCAATATATGTTATACAGGTAGATGTACTGATTCCACCTCCACAAGTTGAAACTAACGGTGATGGAGCGGCGCCAAAAGGTTTGAATCCACAATTGATTGCTGGCGGCTTCGAAGGAGATATGATGTTTCCTGATGGTGCTGATCCAGCACGCGGTGTAGCTATTATTGGTAAACGTCAATGGCCTAATGGTGTTATTCCATACGATATGTCCGCCATTACCAGTAAGTATCTTCCTATTCTATCGAATTGCACTCTAGTTCAGAGATCTTTTTCCAGATGTACAAGATCAACAGAAGATCACCAATGCTATGAACACTCTTATGTACGCTGTTGGTACACCCATTGCCGATTCTCAAAGTCGTACTGCATGTGTTTTCTTCCGACCACGTCAACCTTCCGATAAGGACTACATCTCAATTCGATATGGATCTGGATGTAGCGCTAATGTAAGTCAACGTGAAAATATTTTTTCATTCAAAGTTGAAACGAAATATGTTCAGGTTGGCTACACACAAGGTTTTCAATCCAAAGTTACATTACAGCAAAATGGTTGTTTCTATACCGGTACCATTCAACATGAACTCATGCATGTCCTCGGTATGACTTCAGTTTGTAGTTCTCCCTTTTCCTGAATATGAATTGTAGGGTTTTTTCATGAACAATCTCGACCTGATCGTGATAATTATTTACAAATTAACCTCCAAAATGTTCGACCAGACATGGTGAGTAATGACTGATGTATTTGAATTATTATCATTAGATGATTTTTAAAGACACATAACTTCGAAAAATACGCTTGGGGATCAAGTGTATATAATCAAGGAACACCTTATGACTATAAGAGCGTTATGCATTATGAAACAACCGCCTTCAGTATGAATGGAAAACCAACCATGGTTCCACGGCAAGCGGGTGCCACTATTGGTAGAGCAGAAATGCTTAGTGCACTCGATATCGCTGAAGTTCGTCACTTCTATGGTTGCAAAGCGTAGAATTTTGCTGTTTTGGTTTCATGGATATTTTTATCAATAAAATAAACCGTAGCAAGTTTATGGACTGCGCCCAATAAAACAGTGTGTGATCAATGTAAGGGCCTTGAGGATAAGGGTGTTCTTTTCCTGAGTTCCCCAACATCCTATTGATAATGGTTTTCTGCGTATTCAGATACAGTTTGGACGCGATAAGAGCATTATTGACGTGGAGCATATTTTAACACTTTTCTTCCTTTTCTAAGGGTCCAGAAATGTTCAACCTGTATTCGATTACTTGAGGATAATAGACTCATAAACATCGGTTAAAACGTGATCATCTTACAACATTGACGAACTAATTACACAGAAACAATTAAAAAAAACTTGATATCGAACTCAGATTTCTCGTTTCCCAATACCTACAAGACTGAAAAGTAGGCACGGACAGAAAAAAAAACATTTTTATTCCATCACGCATATTAAAAAAGCAACAAAAAGAAATATATCACGTGGCACATGTTAAATAGCTTAGATATGATATGCCGGAGCTTCGTCTTTGACTATGTTCCACAAATCATTCAATATTTGAATCATATCCGCATTCAATGGAGCTGCTTTGGAATCGCTCAGATTATCTTGAAGTTGTTGTATGTTGGATGCGCCCAAAATGATTGCATCTCCTTCTTCCAATGCCGAATGATTTCGAAGCCAGGAAAAACAAGCTTCAGAAGGTTTGATATTGAACTCCTTGCAACTATTTTGGAATTTTTCTAAAGCTAAGAAAAGAGTGTCTTTGCAATACAAATTGGAATACATTTGACCATAGCGAGTAGAAACATCAAATCGAGAATTAGCCTGAGCATTTTTAATTTGGTCTGGTGTTTTAATCAAGAAGCCTCCAGCAAGCGGTGAAAACGCATAAAATTTCATTCCTAATTTTCTCAATAATGGAAATAATTCTTGTTCATTCTTTCGCGTCATCAAATTGTAATTTCCTTGATACACTGATGGAAGGACATAATTGTTCTGTTTGCAAATGTCGTACATTCGTTGGACTTCTTCAGCAGTAAAATTTGATAGGCCGAATCTTTTAAAACATCCGCGTTGGTAAAGTTCATGTATTGCTTCGGCTGTCTCTTCAAACGGAGTCGAACGATCTGGTACATGAATATAAAAGATGTCAACCGAAGATCGTTTCAATGCTTTTAAACTTGTCTCGCATTGTGTAATTGTATTTTCTTTCGTCAATTTGTTCACATACGGACTTGCTTTCGTGGCAACTGTAAATCCTTCGAAATCTGGTGTTTCGCCAATTAATTCTTCGCTAGTTCCATCTCCATATCTTCTTGCTGTATCTAGTTCGTCGATTCCATCTGCCTTAAGAAAACCAAGAACTTCGGATACTTCTTCTCTTGTTTTAAATCCTCCAGGTCCATTTTTGTTAAAAGTGGCAGCACCAAATACTCTCTTTACTTTCGACATCATGCGTGCTGATATGTTACTGGAAACAAGGCAAAATTTACTTCATCGTCACTGACCATGCAGAAAGTATAGCTAGCATTTCTCCTACCATAAGCATCTGCGACAGATGGCGTACGATATCAGTGTATTCATTTGAAAAACTTATTAACATAGAATTTGCTCATAAAGAATTTCAATGAAAGTCAAGAAACATCTGCAATACATTACAATGATATACTGATTTATATAATCCATGCTTAAAATCATACTGGTACATAGATTATCAGCTATCTGAGCGGTTACTGTAGTCATCATGTGAGCAAATTGAAGAGTTAGAAAAACCGTGCCTGATACATGAAAAGGTGCGACTCCATCAGCTAAAACGAAAGAAGAATGGACGCTGTCAATCATCTGATAATGAGGAAATTCTTCTAATAGATGTTTATGGATGAAAGTTACAGTTGCTCCGGTATCAAGTAGAATTGGCGTAGACAGTTGATTGGCACAAGCAGTGAAATAAATTAGGGAAAATTTTGAAGGGTTTGAAAAAACATTTCCGGAGATAACACCGTCTATCGATGTCTCCTCCGGGTCTAGAAACTTGAACAGACCGAAGCCTCATGTCCAAGTTGATTACAACGACTACGGAGAATGGATGAGAGTTCATGTGATAGAAGATCAACGTGGTTAGCTGACTGAGGGAGANACAAGCAGTGAAATAAATTAGGGAAAATTTTGAAGGGTTTGAAAAAACATTTCCCGAGATAACACCGTCTATCGATGTCTCCTCCGGGTCTAGAAACTTGAACAGACCGAAGCCTCATGTCCAAGTTGATTACAACGACTACGGAGAATGGATGAGAGTTCATGTGATAGAAGATCAACGTGGTTAGCTGACTGAGGGAGATCAATAGCATTAACAGTAGGTTGCCGAGGAGGCATGATATTGTTAGTATTGGAGTTTGCCATAAGAGGGCTAGGACGATTACTAGTAGCATGCGTAGGGGCTGAATTACGTGGTTGAAATTGTTGTGAAAAGGTGGTACCAGGAGTCGACCGATTTTGTGATGATAGAGCTGATGAATAAGAAAAAGCTCTAGATTGAGAAGGAAAACTTCGTCGTCGAGGAGAATAGTTGCGACTGTTCGAACTTTGGTTCCTATGATTAGAGTTACGAGAATTTGTATAGGGATAATTATTCTGAGAAGCAGAATACGAAGGAACGATAGATGTAGGTGTAGATTGCGAGAAGGACTCATAAGATATACCAAGAACGGTAGGAAAGGTTAAATTTGATAATTACATAAGTTCTTCAGCTTCTTTCGCAAACTTAAGAAATTCGCTTGTTGATTGAGGTTTTTTCTTGCGCACTTCGTATTGAATAGAAGGTTTAGCTTTATTTAAAAGATTTTTTAGTTTCGTAGCAGGGCTGCCATCCGTACCCATTTTTGGGGTACAGTACCCCATTTGAACTATTCTTGTTTGTACCAAACAAAAATCATCTTTGGCTAAAATCAATATATCTATTGACTGTAATTAACATATTCATTTGCAGAAAGATGCGAAGAGTACGTTTCAGTCAAATGAACTACTCATTATCTTCAACCGAACTCGATGCAAGCGAAGCAGTTGCTGCGGATGTAAGCTAAGATACGACTAAATACTAAGATAAAAGTTAAAACCATCATTATTTTTTAGAATCTCGAACGCATTTGATTAAAATCGCTATGGTCACAAGAAATTAGCGAATTATGGTCATTTGGTTCTGGGCTCCCATTCAACTAATATTTTCCTATAAAACCTATGTCAGTTATGGTATTACTCGACGAAAACGTTGTGTACGAAAAATATTCATATATACTAGAAATATATATGCATCTTATCAAGCCATGTATTACATAGCACGCTTGATTGATTTATGCAATCAGATATTATTTGAAAAAAACAAAAGACGTCATTGAATATAGGGTATATCAAAATTATAGACCCCCCTTTGTGATTGTTTTTTTACTATGAAAACGAATAGTTAGATCAAATGTAAATAGTGATTTTGATAGCTCTCGAAGTTCTCTATCGAATCGAATATATTGTAGACTTCCAACGTTAACTTTGTTATGTAACATTTTTCTAAATACGAAAAGCTCCATTTTTGACCTGTCGAACGGTTTTTTAAATATTGTTTTGAATGTAACCAGCAGATAGAGCTCAGAATTCTGAGCAAAATAAGTGGTTCTGCGACTCTGAGTCACTCTCCAGTAAAAATTTATGACAATAACAAAAGTCGGGAAAAAGCCAAAAAATGAGAAAAAACCGTGAAAATCGACTAAAAACACGATATTTTCGACTTTTGTTATTGTCATAAATTTTTACTGGAGAGTGACTCAGAGTCGCANGTTTCCGAACATGCACAAAGCTGCCATTTTTTCTCAGGATCGATGTTAATTTGTTCAATGGATTGAAAATTTTCATCGGTAAGAGAAATTCCTTTATTAAAAATGATTAAAATAAATTTCTCTAAAGTTGATGACCAACATACATGATGAATATAACCATTTTTCCATAAAATCTTTTTTATAATTGTACATTCTTTATTAAATAAATGTAATTCGGAGTTCTTATGCATTAATAACATATTTTCACCATTGGAACATATTAAACGACTATAATTTGAACAATCAATTGTTTTAAATGGAGATAAAAGAACTGTAAAATCAATTTCATTGGTTTGAATTTGCTCAATAGAAAGACAATTTTCATTTAATTCGAATGAACGAATATTAATATGATAAGATATTTGATGAAGTTCTTTTATTTGTTGTTTAAGAATGTCAATAGTTGATTTCAATAATTTAATATCTTCTTCCGTAGTATTTTGTTCATGAATAAGTTTGTTGAGTTTGGGTTCAATTTCATTTATTTCTATTTGTTGATTTTCTGTATGTTTCATATAATATTCTTCAAGTTCTTGACATTTTTTTTCATAAAAATGATTTATTGTTTTATACGATTCATTACGCCATTGATTGAGTTTATCAAGACAATTTCCAATTAATTTCATTTTTGTTTTATTCATTATTTGATCATTAAGAAGATTAATTTCCTCAACTAAAGGTTTTAATTGTTCATTAATTGATTCATAATGTTCGTCCAGATGATCGGGACAAAATGTTTTATCACAACAATGACATAGAATACCTAATGTAGAGCAGCAAGATTCAATAATACATGATTGAGACATATTGATTTGAATAAAAAATCTTACTTAAATGAGTTAACAATGAAAAAAATGTTTTTTCTTATATATTCGAATAAAAACAAATATTTCTGTAAGACTACAGTATATCAAATAACATCATAAGTGAAAGAAAATGATGAAATAAAACGTGTATACGTTAAAATGACATTATTTGACGTAGTTCTTCATCATTCTATATGAATAATAAAGATTATCTTTGCTGATTCATGCTGAATAAATCAAAATTTTCTATAGGTTTTATGTAAAATTAATAGATTCTCCGCTTGAATATGCATTGTATTAGGATGTGGGTGAAGGTAACCTGGGTGAGATTTCACCCAGATGATTGTGTGCTGGAGAGTGCATGTCTACGATGATAGAAGATTTATCTTGGATCAAAAAGAATAGTTTGTGTGTCTGTTTGCACAGAATTAGAGACCAAACACATATATATGACTACTATATGAGAATATTCACGAGTCTCCTAGTGATGGGTTGCTTAGTTATCCACGATGCAAAAAGTTGTGCGGTAAGGTACTGCTGAGTAATAGTAGAGTTCACTGATAAGGAGACCATCGGAAAAAATATAAGTAGAATTGGCGGAACGCAAGTGTAAGAACAGAGTGAGTTCTGTGCATGTAGTTACATCTTGTGATAATTAGGCGATCGGTAGCTAAAAAATAGTTTATAGATTGTGTTTTTTATTGCGTTTAGAATGAAACAAGACGCATGGTGATATGATGAAATTTCTGTTTTACACACTTATAGACTGCTAGAATGACTCATATGGAGAGAAACGTTGAGAAAATGGCAAATAATCCAACATATCACAAATCCGTGCACCTATTTTTCTTTCTTTTCTATGCCGTAGGATAGCGTTCACCGTTCTATATTTACCTATAAAGTAGGACGTCGTTTCCCTTTTACTATGACGTCACGTGTTCCACATGAGTATAAATATTGAGAATATTTGGCACTCAATCTTGACATTACTAGTACTTATGTATGGAATTTGTTTTTTTAACTTTCCAAAACCTTAGTCACTAAGAAATCGTTCGTGGCCACCTTATCAATCTCATGATCAGTCGGATACGGTATAAGAAACGAATCGTATTCATGAATTTCATTTGAAAATATGCCTATATCTAACCCTTGATAAGGAGTTTTTCGTTTCGAAATGATCTTCTCTAATTGTGCTCCACAAACAATCAATATCCGCACGTTATGCTGTTCTCTCCTGCGTGTTTGAAGCATAAAACTATTCTACAGATCGTTCTGGTTCTACCCTGAGAATAATTTGGCACGCCGCCTGTGCTGACATGCACACCTGCAGAAATACATAAACATTCTTTTTCTGTTCTAATCGTTTGCACGTGGTCGTCTTTTCTTTCTTTCTTTCTTTCTCTTTCTCGCTTATCGTTACACTTTATTCGCCACTCGAACAACAACAAAAAGAACTAGGATACTTGATTCAAGTTCGAACATCAGAATATACATCATGGATGAATCTTCTGTCGCTAAACCACATTATGAAATCAATGATACAAAAAATGTTCATCTATTAGAAGAACGACAATCTGCAACATTTAATGTTGAAAAATTCACCCAGTTTATGTTTGGTCAATCAGATAATTATTATGAAATTAACGCTCGACGAGAAATCAGTTTCGTACAAATTCATCTGTCTTTTCTTCATAATGATTTTTTTCTTTTCAGTTCGTTTAGCTCTTGCTCATCCGATTCATCAAACACATTTACCATTTGAATACCTTAACGCTGACGAATACTATTCGTTAGTGATCCGTAAAAGTCTACTAGCGATCGAAGAAGCCAACCGTCTAAAAATCACCAATGATAAACATCGTCAATGGTTTTTACATATATTTTCTAGTGGACGATTTGCATTCTATATTCATGCGGTGATGTGTACATATGCGATCGAAACGATGTCGAATGAAGAACAAAAGCGAAAGTTTTTACCATTGGTCAAGTCCTATCGCATGACAACTGCCTATACCCAAACTGAACTTGGTCATGGAACAGATTTGCGACGACTAGAAACGGAAGCGATTTTTGATCGAGAAACAGATTCGTTCATATTTAATACACCGACATTGACATCGACAAAGTTTTGGCCGGGAGCATTGGCACGTTCAGCAAATTATGCGCTTCTTATGGCACATTTGTATACACCTGATCGCAATCATCCGTGTGGAAATCAGATGTTTTTAGTGCAACTCCGAGATTTGGATACACACGAACTCTTGCCAGGTTGTTGTTCGTTACATGTTCATCATCATCGATGAAGAAATGAAAATGAACGAATTCCTCGTTTAGGAGTTGAAGCAGGTGCGATAAGTACGAGATTCAATGATTGTGCCGGTGATAATGGTTATCTACGATTGACCAATGTACGTGTTCCTCGCACAAATATGTTAATGAAAGCAGCTGAAGTAAAATTTTTCTCACAGAAATCAATGTATTATCTACGACATAGATACGTTTCAGGTCGATCGGGATGGTAATTTTCATCGCTGCGGCGATGCTCGTGTTTTGTATGGTGCAATGGTTCATATGCGTATCCATCTTAGCTATTCATTTTCCGTATCGCTTGCTCAAGCTATTACCATTGCTATGCGCTACTCTGCTGTTCGGTTCCAAGGATCCAATCCACAAGGGTATGCTCTATTTGACGAATAGAATAATTTAACTACGTTCATTCATATACCTAGAAATGAAACACGCATACTTGACTATCCGTTACAACAAGAAAAGCTTGTTCCATGTTTAGCATCAGCCTATGCTTTTCTCGTCACCTTTTTAAATTTGAATAATTATTTCAACGATTTAAAAACAAATGAAACGATGTTTTTCCGCCAACTACCAGAAGTAGAGAGAATAATCTCATAGATTCACTCTCGTAACCGATTTTACATATTTAGCTTCACGCATTAGCTTCTGGTTTGAAAGCATATACATCGTCAGTTGGTGAACGATTAACTCAAAACTGCCGTGTATCATGTGGTGGCCATGGATTTTTATTCGCAAGTGGCATTATTGGAATACGAAATTTCCTTGATGCGTCATCGAGTGCTGAAGGTGACACTGTTGTGCTGTATCAACAGACAGCAAGGTTTGACTTTTGCATTTTCATTCGTTTTGAACTGATGGATGAATCTAGATATATCTTGAAAATGATTCAACGTGTGGAAGAAGACAGCGAGAAAGGTGTTGACGCGTCTACGACTTATCTGCGAGCAAAATTATGGTCTGGAAAGACGATGATCAACCTTGACGATTACTGTCATCTTTTCGAAAGTCGTGCACAATTGTAAATATGAAACTGTTAGCAGATCTTTTCTTGTCTACCTGTATTCAATGTAGATTGGCAAAAGAAGCGTTGGCACAGATGTTTGAATCATCACTATCTCCGTATGCAACATTTTTGAAGAATTCTATTCAACTAGTACAGTTGGCTAAGGTTATACGAGCAATTATTTGTTTAATCGGCATGATTATCATGTTCTTTTTTTTCTAGGCGCATGTGGAAACATACTTAATGCGATCATTCTTGGAACAAGTGAATAAAGCTGCTCACCATCTGGAATTCTCAGTGATTCTCGAACAACTTTTTTATGTCTTTGCGATTCATACGTTACGCAATGAGTCAAAGGATTTTATTCGAGTATCTATACCTTGCTTCTCTCACCCCATACACTTTCATTCGATTTTCAGTTGAATCTTCTGACGGCCGAGCAAATCTATGAACTTGAAAACCGTTTATTACCGGATTTGTATACACGACTTCGTCCGAATCTTGTTCCACTAGTTGATGCATTCGATTTTCACGATGTGGAACTTGGTAACCCTTACAGTTTCTCTTGTTTCTTGGCTGATTTATGCGTTCTTTCTTGATTTAGACTCTTGTTTGGGACGATACGATGGGCAAGCATATGAAGCTTTAATGGAACGTGCTCGACTTAATCCAGCCAATCAACAAAAGGTAGGACACATTGACTTTGAATAGTGTGAAAGTACGTGCCGTGTTCACTTAGGTTCCTCCTGTTTGGAAAGCAATAAAACAAGGGACACTCTCGAAACTTTAGTTTTCCTCTTGATATGTTTTAAATTTTTCATTTCGATAAAGTGATTTCTTATTTTTTGGTGATTTGATCATGGAATAAACGTATGTAAAAGAGAGTGACGAACCACAATCGAAAGCTGATGATTATAATAAAGCCTCGTCGGGGAAAGTTATGCCTTTGGTAGACCTGATATGCCTCTTTATTTTTTTGTTTTCATTCAATTAAAAAAAAACGGATCTGATATTTCCCTTTGTGTATGTAGGTGTTTCGATCACAGTTTTCTTTGTTTTTGATGATGCAGCAGTAGTGTTAATCTCGTACTATAATTGTGTAATATGAGATTCGTTTAGCTGGTATATAAAGTCAACCAAGAACGGTTTGGAAGCGACAAACATCAAAATTAATATTTTCATTCGATTGAGATCGACGTTTTATGGCTGCTACCCTCTTTGTTCTTCTCGTTTCATGCTTGATATTGACTATTTATGGATTACCTGTAAGACTTTTCTTTGAAAGAAATTTCAGTAATATCAATATATGTTATATAGGTAGATGTACTGATTTCACCTCCGCAAGTTGAAACTAGCGGGAATGGAGCGGCACCAAAAGGTTTGAATCCACAATTGATTGCTGGTGGCTTCGAAGGAGATATGATGTTTCCTGATGGTGCTGATCCAGCACGTGGTGTAGCTATTATTGGTAAACGTCAATGGCCTAATGGTGTTATTCCATACGATATCTCAGCAATCACCAGTAAGTATCTTCCTATTCTGTCGAGTTGTACTGTAGTTCACGGATCGTTTTTCAGATGCACAAGATCAACAGAAGATCACCAATGCTATGAACACTCTTATGTACGCTGTTGCTACACCTATTGCCAACTCTCAAAGCCGTACTGCATGCGTTTTCTTCCGACCACGTCAATCCTCTGACAAGGATTACATCTCAATTCAATATGGATCTGGATGTAGCGCTAATGTAAGTCAACGTAAAAATATGTTTTCATTAAAAGTTGAAACCAAATATGTTCAGGTTGGTTACACACAAGGTTTTCAATCCAAAGTTACATTACAGCAAAATGGTTGCTTCTATACCGGTACCATTCAACATGAACTCATGCATGTCCTCGGTATGACTTCAGTTTGTGGTTCTCCCTTTTCCTGAATATGAATTGTAGGGTTTTTTCATGAACAATCTCGACCTGATCGTGATAATTATTTACAAATTAACCTCGAAAATGTTCGACCAAACATGGTGAGTAACGACTGATGCATTTGAATTATTATCAATAGATGACTTTTAAAGGTACATAACTTCGAAAAATATGCTTGGGGATCAAGTGTATATAATCAAGGAACATCTTATGATTATAAGAGTGTTATGCATTATGAAACAACCGCCTTCAGTATGAATGGAAAACCAACCATGGTTCCACGGCAAGCGGGTGCCACTATTGGTAGAGCGGAAATGCTTAGTGCACTCGATATCGCTGAAGTTCGCCACTTCTATGGTTGCAAAGCATAGAATTTTGTTGTTTTGGTTTGATGGATATTTTTATCAATAAACTAAACCGCAGCAAGTTTATTGGCTGCATCCAATATAACAGTGTGTGATCAATGTAACGGTCTTGAGGATAATGGTATGACTTTATGCGTGTTCAGAAACACTTTGGACGCGATAAGAGAATTATCGACGTGGAGCATATTGTAGCATTCTTCTTCCTTGTCTAAAGGTCTATGAATGTTCAACCTGTATTCGATTATTTGAGGATGATAGAATAGTAAACATCGGTTAAAATGTGATCATCTTACAACATTAGCGAGTTAACTACACAGAAACAACTGTAAAAACTTGATATCGAACTCAGATTTCTCGTTTTCCAGTGCCTGCAAGACCAAAGAGTAGGCACGGACAGAAAAAAAAAGCATTTTTATTCTATCACGCATATTAAAAAAGTAACAAAAAGAAATATGTCACGTGGCACATGTTGCAGTGATTGTTTAATAGCTTAGACATGATATGCCGGAGCTTCGTCTTTGACTATGTTCCACAAATCATTCAATATTTGAATCATATCCACATTTAATGGAGCTGCTTTTGAATCGCTCAGATTCTCTTGAAGTTGTTGCATGTTGGATGCGCCCAAAATGATTGCATCTCCTTCTTCCAATGCCGAATGATTCAGAAGCCAGGAAAAACAAACTTCAGAAGGTTTAATATTGGACTCCTTGCAACTATTTTGGAATTTCTCTAAAGCTAAGAAGAGACTATCTTTGCAATACAAACTGGAATATAATTGACCATAGCGAGTAGAAACATCAAATCGTGAATTAACCTGAGCATTTTTAATTTGGTCTGGTGTTTTAATCAAGAAGCCTCCGGCAAGTGGTGAATAGGCATAAAATTTCATTCCTAATTTTCTCAATAATGGAAATAATTCTTGTTCATTCTTTCGCGTCATCAAATTGTAATTTCCTTGATACACCGATGGAAGGACATAATTATTCTGTTTGCAAATGTCGTACATTCGTTGGACTTCTTCAGCAGTAAGATTTGATAGACCAAATCTTTTAAAACATCCGCGTTGGTAAAGTTCATGTATTGCTTCGGCCGTCTCTTCAAACGGAGTCGAACGATCTGGTACATGAATATAGAAGATGTCAACCGAAGATCGTTTCAATACTTTTAAACTTGTCTCGCATTGTGTAATTGTATTTTCTTTCGTCAGTTTGTTCACATACGGACTTGCTTTCGTGGCAACACTAAATCCTTCGAAATCTGGCGTTTCACCAAGTAATTCCTCACTAGTTCCATCTCCATATCTTCTTGCTGTATCGAGTTCATCGATTCCATCTGCTTTAAGAAAACTAAGAACTTTGGATAGTTCTTCTTTTGTTTTAAATCCAGGCCCATTTTTGTTAAAAGTGGCAGTACCAAATACTCTCTTTACTTTCGACATCATACGTGCTGATATGCTACTGGAAACAAGGCAAAATTTGCTTCATCGTCGCTGACCAGAAAGTAGCTAGCATTTCTCCTATCATAAGCATCTTCGAAAGATGGCGTATGATATCAGTGTATTCCTTTGAAAAACTTATTAACATAGAATTTGCTCATGAAGAATTTCAATGAAAGTCAAGAAACATCTGTAATACATTACAATGATATACTGATTTATATAATTCATGCTTAAAATCATACTGGTACATAGATTATCAGCTATCTGAGCGGTTACTGTAGTTATCATGTGAGCAAATTGAAGAGTTAGAAAAACCGTGCCTGATACATGAAAAGGTGCGACTCCATCAGCTAAAACGAAAGAAGAATGGATGCTGTCAATCATCTGATAATGGGGAAATTGTTCTAATACATGTTTATGAATGAAAGTTGTAGTTGCTCCGGTATCAAGTAGAATTGGCGTAGACAGTTGATTGACATAAGCACTGAAATAAATTAGGGAAGATTTTGAAAAAAACATTTCCCGAGATAACACCGTCTATCGATGTCTCCTACGGGTCTAGAAACTTGAACAGACCGAAGCCTCATGTCCAAGTTGATTACAACGACTACGGAGAATGGATGAGAGTTCATGTGATAGAAGATCAACGTGGTTAGCTGACTGAGGGAGATCAATAACATTAACAGTAGGTTGCCGAGGAGGCGTGATATTGTTAGTATTCGAGTTTGTTATACGAGGGCTAGGACGATTACTAGTAGCATGCGTAGGGGCTGAATTACGTGGTTGAGATTGTTGTGAAAAGGTGGTACCAGGAGTCGACCGATTTTGTGATGATAGAGCTGATGAATGAGAAAAAAGCTCTAGATTGAGAAGGAAAACTTCGTCGTTGAGGAGAATAGTTGCGACTGTTCGAACTTTGGTTCCTATGATTAGAGTTACGAGAATTTGTATAAGGGTAATTATTCTGAGAAGCAGAATACGAAGGAACGATAGATGTAGGTGTAGATTGCGAGAAGGACTCATGAGATATACCAAGAGCGGTAGGAAAGGTTAAATTTGATAATTGCATAAGTTCTTCAGCTTCTTTCGCAAACTTAAGAAATTCACTTGTTGGTTGAGGTTTTTTCTTGCACACTTCGTATTGAATAGAAGGTTTAGCTTTATTTAAAAGAGTTTTTAGTTTCGTAGCAGGGCTGCCATCCGTGCCCGTTTTTGGGGTACAGTACCCCATTTGAACTATTCTTGTTTGTACCAAACAAAAATCATCTTTGGCTAAAATCAATATATCTATTTACTGTAATTAACATATTCATTTGCAGAAAGATGCGAAGAGTACGTTTCAGTCAAATGAACTACTCATTATCTTCAACCGAACTCGATGCAAGTGAAGCAGTTGCTACGGATATGAGCTAAGATACGACTAAATAATAAGATAAAAGTTAAAGCCATCATTATTTTTCAGAATCTCGAACACATTTGATTAAAATCGCTATGTTCACAAGAAATTAGCGAATTATGTTCATTTGGTTCTGGGCTCCCATTCGACTAATATTTTCCTCTAAAACCTATGTCAGTTATGGTATTGCTCGGCGAAAACGTTGTATACGAAAAATATTCATATATAGAAATATATATGCATCTTATCAAACCATGTATTACATAGCACGCTTGATTGATTTATGCAATCAGATATTATTTGAAAAAAACAACTGACGTCATTGAATATACATAATCGATGTGAGGTTAACATCATGATAATAGCTTCACATCGACATATAAGTAAGTAAGATAGTCTGGGTCTAAGGACTAGTGTAGAAATCGTTAACTCGATTCGAGTATTAAACCTTTTTCGTTTTAAACTTTCAAACTTCCACGACTTCACTCACCCATACCCCACTTACGAAAGAATCGTTATACTGCGCGAACGCAACGAAATAAAAACATATCAAACAAACAACAACGACGTAGTCTGCGTATTTAAATAAATAAACATATATATATATGTGTGTTCTTCTGCTTCGCATGCTCTTGCATTACTATTTACATTAATACCAATGAGATAAAACCGAGAAAGACAATCGAACATTTTTTTATCTAAGAAATCGATATACATCAACGATGATGAGTGCTCTCGTTACTGTTTCTCTCTCTTCCTCTCTACTGTGTCACGTCTGAATACATTCCTCCTCATCTTTCTGTTCATGGATTGTTCCAGACCTCTCTTTCGTTTGTTTTTCGAGAAGGAATATTATCTTCGATACCATACTTTCTTTGTTCTTGTTGATATATATCACTCCAGAACCCCGCAGACAGGCTCACAATGTATAGGACTTTACACCATTCCTGAGTAACGCAGAAAATTGCGCACTATATAAGTATAAATTGGAAAATTCTTTTATTGTTTTCTCTTTACTACTGAAAATTTGCTTCAGATTATTCACGAACTCGATTCGCTGTAAACTACGACAGAGACCTTATTATATATGAGTGAAGGTACAAAATCTTTGGCAATGATCTTGAAAGAACAGCCTTTCCTGTATGATCTACATACCCATTTACTTGGTATGGGTAATTCTGGCTTTTGGATTGATACTATTCTGATGGACGAATCCATTATGCCAAAACATTCAAAGGACTTTGATGAAGCTTTATGTCCACTCATTTGGTTTGGTAAAGGCTTCATAAATGGGAAGATCGCTGTAAAATTTTTTCAAACACTTATGGAGACGCCACTTTATGAAGAAAGGGACGGGAAAACTGCTCTACTAACTCTTGAACAATTACGAACAAAAATAACAGACCAATTAAAACAGGAGGATTGTCGTGAAGTGCTAGTTGAACTTATAGATGAAGAACTGTATCACAAAATAATTCATTATCAGCTGACATTTCAACATGATTTCTCACGTGACGTTATCTTGGAATTATCTGATTTGGCGAAAGGTCTAAACATCAAGGATTCATCGTGTCAAGGATTTGTCGAATTGGCTATCAGTGAAAAGCTAGGCGGCCATCTGGCAAATCGGAAAATCCATTTTAAACATTGGATTATTTTTAATGCTAGAAAACAAAAATTCGATGTAGTTTATGGCATCGAAGTTGCACANACAATATATTCGATTCGATAGAGAACTTCGAGAGCTATCAAAATCACTATTTACATTTGATCTAACTATTCGTTTTCATAGTAAAAAAACAATCACAAAGGGGGGTCTACAATTTTGACATACCCTATATACATAATCTATGTGAAGCTATAACATCATGTCAATAGCTTCACATCGACATAGAAGGAAGTAAGATAGTCGAGCAGTGTAGAAATCGTTAACTCGATTCGAGTATTAAACCTTCTTCGTTTTAAACTTTCAAACTTCTACGACTTCACTCACCCACACCTCGCTTACGAAAGAATCGTTATACCGTGCGAACGCAACAAAATAAAAATGTATCAAACAAACAACAACGACGACTTAGTCTGCGTATTTAAATAAATAAACATATATATATATATATATATATGTCGCAGGAAAAATTAAAATTCAGGACAATTTAAAATTGTCCTAGACTTGCCTAGGAAAAATTAAAATGTCTGTGTAAAAATTTTAATTATTCCTACGACAATTTTAAATTGTCCTGAATTTTAATTTGTACTGCGACATATATATATGTTCTTCTGCTTCGCATGCTCTTGCATTACTATTTACATTAATACCAGTGAGATAAAACCGAGAAAGACAATCGAACATTCTTTTATCTAAGAAATCGATATACATCAACGATGATGAGTACTCTCGTTACTGTTTCTCTCTCTTCCTCTCTACTGTGTCACGTCTGAATACATTCCTCCTCATCTCTCTGTTCATCGATTGTTCCAGACCTCTCTTTCGTCTGTTTTTCGAGAAGGAATATTATCTTCGATACCATACTTTCTTTGTTCTTGTTGATATATATCACTCCAGAAACCCGCAGACAGGCTCACAATGTACAGGACTTTACACCATTCCTGAGTAACGCAGAAAATTGCGCACTATATAAGTATAAATTGGAAAACTCTTCTATTGTTTTCTCTTTACTACTGAAAATTTGCTTCAGATTATTCACGAACTCGATTCGCTGTAAACTACGACAGAGACCTTATTATATATGACTGAAGGTACAAAATCTTTGGCAATGATCTTGAAAGAACAACCTTTCCTGTATGATCTACATACCCATTTACTTGGTATGGGTAATTCTGGCTTTTGGATTGATACTATTTTGATGGATGAATCCATTATGCCAAGACATTCAAAGGACTTCGTTGAAGCTTTATGTCCACTCATTTGGTTTGGTAAAGGCTTTATAAATGGGAAGATCGCTGCAAAATTTTTCCGAACACTTATGGAGACGTCACTTGATGAAGAAAGGGACGGGAAAACTACTCTACTAACTCTTGAACAATTACGAACAAAAATAACAGACCAATTAAAACAAGAGGGTTGTCCTGAAGTGCCAGTCGAACTTATAGATGAAGAACTGTATCACAAAATAATTCATTATCAGCTGACATTTAAACATGATTTCTCATGTGACGTTATCTTGGAATTATCTGATTTGGCGAAAGGTCTAAACATCAAGGATTCATCGTGTCAAGGATTTGTCGAACTGGCTATCAGTGAAAAGCTAGGCGGCCATCTGGCAAATCGGAAAATCCATTTTAAACATTGGATTATTTTTAATGCTAGAAAACAAAAATTCGATGTAGTTTATGGCATCGAAGTTGCACAGTTACGAAATCTGCTTAGTACTNGTGACGTTATCTTGGAATTATCTGATTTGGCGAAAGGTCTAAACATCAAGGATTCATCGTGTCAAGGATTTGTCGAATTGGCTATCAGTGAAAAGCTAGGCGGCCATCTGGCAAATCGGAAAATCCATTTTAAACATTGGATTATTTTTAATGCTAGAAAACAAAAATTCGATGTAGTTTATGGCATCGAAGTTGCACAGTTACGAAATCTGCTTAGTACTGAGTCGACGACGTCATCAGTTGAAGCAGCGAAATTAGCACGTGGCCATCTTGTCAACGCCTTTTCAATGTGCGATGCTTCAGGAACACCTGCTCGTCCTATTGACTTTCATAGTTTTCACGGTTCTTTCACGCCTGATTTTTATCCACGCCGATTTGCTCTTAAGGATTCGATTTATTCGCAAAGACTAGATATTCTAGCCACGCTTCTTGCGCACATTATCGAACGTTACCAGACTTGCTTACCTCCCGTTCGATATTGTGAGATATCAGTCAGCGTCAATGACCTTTGCTGTCCATGGGTGTTTGATGTACTTCGCAGTGTTCAAGTTTATGGCCTCCAGAAAATTAAGGATATCAACAAGAATTCATCATCATCTGTCTATGAAGCACAAGATGAATGCAGTTCTTTTTCACAACTCGTTCTTAACGGCTATTTCCCTCATCTTCAAGTTGCTTTCAAAGGACGCATTAAGCCGAATGGTGAAAGCACAACCTCTACTACACCCACTGTTACTTATAAGTTTCTGGCTGGTTTCAATCGGCAAAACATCAAAGAGCCTTTTCCACTTGATCAAGATAAAGCGCTTCAATTCTTATATATTAAGCCACACGAAGCAATAATGTTAATGAACGAAAAAATTGAAGAGAGTCGTAGTATGTTGACAGAAACAGAGCCGCGTAAACTTAGCAAATGCGAAGAAAACCTAGCTTTTGGTCCATGTCTGAAACAGTTAGAAAAATTAAAAGACGTCAGCGAAACTACACCTTGTTTTTCCCAGTGGGTCGTTGGACTCGACCTTTTTGGTGATGAACTCGGATTTCCTTACTGTCCGTTTATTGCGCGTCCATTCATCAAGTTTATTAAAGATCAAAGGGCTAAAAACTCTTATTTCGGCGTTCGTATTCATTGCGGTGAAAATGTGAAATATATTGATGATGAGAGTCCGGCTTACCGACTGTTCGTGGCACATATGTATATTGTCTTTCGTTGTTTACATTTTCTTCAACAAGAACTTAAGCGTGGTATTCGAATTGGTCATGGTATCGCGTTTAATAAAATTTTGGCTGAACCTACGAGGTCGTGTAGAGTTCGTAAATCATCTGTACTCGTGGCACAAATGCGTCATCTTGCGGGTGATTTATTGAAAAACATTGCTTTCGAAGTGAATATTACTAGTAATAGATATTTACTTGGGCCAACAATACGCTCAGAAGATGATTCAAAGATGTTATGCCTTAAAAGATTGTTTGACAATAAGATACCGATCGTTCTCGGAACTGATGATGATGGAATTTGGCCTATCGATCAATGTTCATCCGTGCATCCTGGCCATCATTCATTAGCTGCCGAATACTGCCACGCAATTTCAAGCAAAATAATTAATTCAAAGGAGCATCTCGAGTGTATTTTTGCAGCGATGAAAAAGTATTGTTTTTGGAATGTAAACAACTCAAACTTAGATCCACCATTAGAAAATGTGGATTTAAAAGAAACGTATTCAACTGGATATGTTATTGTTCATCCAGACGTCGAACAATTACTCCGCGATCAAAATACAATTGTACCTACTGGTGAAAATACGAATGAAGATGAAGACAATACTCCTACCCAGGAAAGTACTGCCAACTGGACTACAGACGTTATGGCGCACATAGCATTTGTTTGTCAGACCGTTACTCACGAAGAGTGGGACAAGGAAAAACTTTATAAAGATTATAGTACGAAATTCGGAAATTTAAATGAAGAGTCGAAGGCAAAAAATGAGGAATCAAAAAAGAAATTCGATTTTATTTATGGTAACTGGAAAAGTATTTTATCTACTTTTGTCCTTTGTAAGAATGATACAAAAGCTAATGAAGCTCTTAAACACGAAATTAAATTAGAATTTGGCCGTACTGTAATTTACTCGATGGACTCACGGTCCACGGATCCAAGAGCCATTTATGACCACATATCCAAGTTAAAAGACTCAATTGATATTCGTGCCTATGCAGTCAATGTGAATGGTGAAGAAGTGGCGAAGGCCTTGAAAGCATCGGGTAATACTAATAATAAAGACTCCACGGAGCGCACTTTAGTGTTGTATACAAACACTAATAAGTACACATATGCGTTCGCATATAGCCCGACTGGCCAGTGCAATCTTCGAGTGAATCCAAGTCCTAAAGTGCGTGGGGATAGCGATCAACATTTCTTGTATGTTCTATGTCCTCATGCCAGCGCCGCTACAGCTGCTGTTCATGAAATATATCGGCAACTATTGAAATTTAAATCAAGCCCATGTATGGCTGAAACTGAGCAAACTGTTATTGCTTCTATTGCAAGTGGTGCAACAATACCTGCTCACAATATCCTGCAACAACCTACTAATGACTCAAATCAGTCGGATACTAATCCGTCTATTGGTACTGCTCCGGTTGCTTCGATTCTTAAGCGACCACGTTCGGATGATGACGATGATACACATTAATAGCAAGAAAAATTCCCATTTATAATATTAAAGGCAGATGACTTCTGGTCTTTGTTATTCCTGCTAACCAAAGTTGCATCATGTTTCAACTGAACCCGCAACTGCAACTGTAGTGACCTTTCTCTAGTACACTCTTAAACATGGCTTCTTGCTTATAGAAAAACTTTCTGTAGATGCCTTCCAGCAACAGCCCATCCTCCATAAGCTTAGATTAAGCAAATTAGAGGCAGATCAATTTTTCACGTAGATATTGCAAAAAAATTATACCTTATAATCATCTTGTCGTATTCAATAAATCTAAAATACATAAACTAAAAATATTGCGCAACGAACAGAGAGGCAAGGAAATATTCATCAAACTTCTCTACAAAGAATTATCAGAATTATGTTCCAGAACTGATAAATTGAAACTTTTTCAACACCGACCCAGTCGTTTTCAGATCTCAAGCGGTGCTTGAGGGTGAGAGGGTTCTGTTTGATCGTATTATTTCATTGATTATCTGTGATACTGGAACGCAACTATATGCATATGATTTGTATTCTTCATAGTACGCATATATTCATTTCTAGTCGTCTAAGGTAACTTTACGAAATCCGTCTGATGTCTTCACTACTATGTTATATTCGAGTAAAGAGAATCGATATTTAATTATGAAAGAAAGTATGAAATGGTACAATGTCATGATTTGAAAAGATTGGACAAAATTGTTTACCCAGGTGAAAAAATAACGCAGTTAGGTTATGCATTGTGTCACTATGATGTAGTGTTATTCGATGTATTCTATTCGAAAATAAAGGAAGTGAATACGCTTGATTTTCTCCGACAGACACATGTACATATATAATTTAATACCTATTCAGAATTAACCATGCATAATGTTTTTTTTATATTCGATACTAACCTTTACGTGTACACATAAAACGAAAGAAAAATCAGAGTCTTTATGACAAATGTTTTCTTTTCAGATTGCGATGACGTTCGTATGGAAGTTTCAGTGCTTATGTTTGTATTTCCTTTTTGTTCAACGGCAAGTAGAAGGAACTTGGCCTTCAACGAATTCATCGGCAATTCAGCTACTATATCTTTCACAAAATATTACAGATATCACTAATATTCAGTCATGGTATTATCAAACTCGTGCGATGTTCTACTCGGCTATACTGCTTTCTCATCAATACGGTATAACTGTCGGAGGTGAATATTTGGGTTGGCGTCTTGAAACAACGTCAGGTAATGCCATGAACGCTCTTCGTATGACATGTGAAGCAGTGTCGACTTCCAATATTGTCGGTATTGTTGGACCGTCAGTTTCGCGAGAAGCACATGTACTTGCACCATTTACTGAAGATATCGATATTCCCATCATATCCTATGGTGCAACTGACCCTAAACTGTCCGATCGAATTGCATATACAAGTTTTTATCGTACGGTACCTTCGGATAATGACGCAGCTTTGGCTATGGCTAAACTATTTGTGCGATTCAATTGGACAATGTGTATCATTATTTACCAAAATGATGAATTTGGAGTGGGAGGTGTTAAAGCCCTTTCTGATGTGTTTGCTGATAGCAATATAACTGTTACAGACACAATGATCTTCGATATGACAACATTGGCCATTCGGGGTGATTTGAAAGGTATATTGACACGCAGTTTAGCACGGATCGTAATCGTTTGGGCCGACTCGACTTATGCAACACTAATTCTACAAAGTGGTCTCAAAGCGGATGTAGTTGGTCCACTATTTACATGGATATTGGGCGGTGATGTTTTGTTAACGGATTTCAACGACACTTGGTATGATCGCTTAGTCGGAATACTATCAATCAGTCCTGTGGTAGGAAATCTGGCAGGCGCACCAGTAAATCAGACATTGTTAAATGATGCGTACACTATTTGGAAGAAGTATGAACCTGAATCGTTTCCTGGCACAGCGAACGTTGATTATTACACATTGTTTGCATTTGATGCAACATGGGCGTTGATTGAATCATTTGCACGATTGTGCTCCAACAGCAATTTTTCATCGTGCATTGGGTTTACGAACACATCGTTTTGTTTTGACAGACGTGCTTTAAATATGCATTCAATATTTGATATACTCAAAACAAATACTTTTCTGGGTGTCACCGGTACTGTTCAATTTTCGATTAATACAACAGATCGAATTAATGGTTCCTATTATATTGTGAAAAATGTTCAACGTTTTTCCAAAACTCTTAACTTTGTTCCAGTCCTAGTATCCACTGGATCAGCTGACTGGACCCAACATGCTGAAAAAAACATTATTGTCTGGCCTGGTCAATCCTTAACTGTACCAACCGGTTACGCATCCATTCAGGGCGTTACATTACGTATTGGTGTTAAAGAAACAGTTCCATTTGCTATGGAGAAGGAAATTAAAGATGAATATGGAAATAAGAAGGCAAAATTAGTCGGCTATGCCGTTGATTTGGTTTATCGTCTACAAGAAAAAATGGGATTTATCGCAAATGTCACTTTAATACCTGAAAATGTTACATATAGCAGTTTGCCTGATTTAATAGTAAATGACAAATTCGATATGATAGTTGGAGATATCACAATTTTAGCCGTTCGAAGAGAAAAAGTATCGTTTTCTGAGTCAATCTTTGACAACACATTACGAATTATCATTCGAAAGAAAACTTCCGAAAGTTATGGTCGTTTCGCTTTTTTGAAACCATTTCCAATAATTCTCTGGATCATGATCGCCCTCGTCGTTCTTTGGTCTGCTTTGCTACTTTACTTCTATGAAGTACGCCATGCAGAACTCAGAAAAAAACCAGTAATTTCTCGCATTGGAATGAGTATTTGGTATGCAATTGGAACACTTATTGGATACGGTGTTGATTTCCAAGCAAAAACATCACCTGGTCGCATCCTGACAAGCGGTATATACGTCGTCAGCGTTGTTCTCATTGCCGCATATCAAGCAACGTTAACAGCGAAGTTAACTCTATCTCAATCACAAGATTTCATCGTCGGCATTGACGATATTAAAAATGGAAAAGTTCCATACAATCGAATTGGCATTCTTACAGGTACTTCGATTGAAGATTATTTTCTTCGAGAAATCACTGGTGGTAGTCGAAATTATTATCCGTTAACAACCAAAGAAGATATGTACGAAAAGTTATTAAATAAAGTTATCGATGCATCAATCATGGATTCAGGTGTCGTCGAGTACGCGACCAGTGCCGTCTATTGCAATTTGACTCTTGTCGGTGCCGGTTTCGATCATAGTTCATTCGGAATCATGTATCCAAAGAAGTGGTTATATGAACAGATTCTGGACGTCACCGTATTATCATTCCGTGAAGCAAATGTGTTCAATGAGTTGCAAAGAAAATGGTTTCAGGCAACAACATGCGCACAGGACTCAGGAACACCAGATCCAACAGATTTACCATTTAAAGCCATCGCTGATTTGTTTGCTGTCTTTGGAGTTATTAGTCTTCTATCGATACTAATGTACATAGGAAGGATAATGCACACACATTACAGATCGAAAGCGATTATCCCAAATGACATAGCACTTGATACTCCTCCATCTCCTACTCCTGTCTCTAGTCTTTCATATTCAGACCATATGCCTTTCGTTCGTTCACATCGTCATACATGAATTTTTCTTTTAAAAAATGTTTTTTTTTAATTATTTAGAACAAATAAAAGAAATAACCATTTGGGATCTAGGCTTTTCAAAACGAATAGTCGTGTGTAATTCCGTACTTCTGTCTTAGTTGTCGTAGTAAAGTTTGATTGTATATACAAGTGAGATTTTTCTGATTGTCAATTACTCCTCCCACTTTCCATTGTCGATACTCATGAATAAGCTCTTCAATCCAAAAGTTAAAACAGGGAAAGTGTGTTTGTGCAGGTCTTGTTGTTACTAACGAACAAAAGACGGGATCTTTAGCACACATTTCTATAAACAATTGTCCATCGTTCGCCAAGTTATCATATGGATTCACTGGTATGGCGAACCCATCAAGGATTAATTTCGCCGCTTGTCGGACTAATCGGACAACCTCACCTTGTCGAATCCCTTTTACTCGCTCATTAATTGGGTAATAAAGACCCTTGATATACGGTGTTCCGCTTGTCATATATTGTTCGCCGAACGAAGTAAACACTTGCTTTGTTTTATCTAACCCATCGGGTTTTAGACCACCGAGATTGATATGAATAGAACCGTCCGGTAAAAATGTTTGATACATTTGACCTGTCCCCGGCGCACTTATATGAATATCCATCTGTCGTAAGAGACGTAATTGTGCAATGAATTTGTTATCTTGAAATAATGACGGAGTCAAATTGCGAAGTGGTACATCTTCATAATGAAGATAAGATATATGAATTAACGGCTGCTGCTGTTGTTTCTTGTTAAAGGAATGTGTATAGTTGTTGATTTCAGCGATGGCGTTTTGAATCTGTTGAATATCATCATTGTGAAAACGTTTATTATGAATGACATAAGTGTGAAGAACATCGCTTGATGTTCGATATTCAGATGACGATCGATGTCGAACTCTTGGTGGTAATAACCCATGCTGCCGATACATTCGATCACGAAAGAGCCGTGAGCCGTCTAGGTCAATTCCACCAGGTAATTGAAAATTTGTTTGTGTACAACGTTGACACATCATCCCACTTCCCATAACGATCTCTTCGAACATAAACCATCGTCGCGTGGACGACTGCATGAACTGAAGCTCTTTGATCATTGGCAGGCCAGAGAATCTTTGATAGATGTCTTCAGTCCAACATTTATCACAATCACGAAAATCTGTAAATAGTCGAAATGGATGAAGATGTCGCGGAGAGAAACGAATCAAAGCAAGATAAGCAGGATACAGCCCATCAAATAATGCATGACCAATATTGTATTGCCAATCTTGAATAAAATAAACAGTGACATCAGGAATAATTGTCGGTTCAGCGATTGTCCGAACGAAATGTTCCAGAGACGGATAAGAATCAAAAACACGCTTTTGTCGTACTTTTGGCCAAAGCTGAAGCGAATTCGTTCGAACAGAATAATCTGGTAGCAACGTTCCGTTGACTGTTAAAATGATAAAGTCGCCATTGATATAGTAGAGATTTTCGAATAAACAGGATTGATTGATGAGTGGACCTATACAACGAATTCGTGTTTCCAATGTTCTATTTGTTTGACCTATCGGCGTCGAATGATTCCATAGTCGAACGTAAGTTTTTTGCAGTAAAACAATGCAAAATGAAACTGAGATCAATTTGAGTAATGCTAAGATTCGTCGTTTGGTTAACATTTAAACTTCTGATTACCGTCATTCGTTCGACTACAAAATTTAACAAAATTGTTTACATATGTGCTTTTTTCTTTTCTCGTTCTGACAGAAAAAAAGACGATGTTCGTAACAACCACACAGTTCTGTTCTTTGCAAACGAACAATGACTCATTCAAGGTCATCAAATGGGCATATCTTTGAAAAGATAATAAATATACAAAAGAAAGTTATCAGTGCATTTTACTACCATGACTCTGTCCTCGTCAGTTCTTCTGAGCTGGATTGCATATATAATCATCTCTTACTATATCATTCGTCTTATTCCATATGGTTTTCTTCGATTTCTCCTCACGTTATTTCCATGTGGCTTATTAACTTGGATCACTTGTCAAGATCTACCAACATTTGACGCGTCATCAGTGATCATTTTAGCCATAGCTTGGTTGATATCTATACGTTTGATTCAACTAACTGTTTGTACAACGAATTCACCATTAACATTTCAATCATATCTCGCGAAAATTCTTTGGACTTTTCTTCCCATTCGATCCCAACAATCCTTTAGAAATCAGTGGCCAATCAGTGCACAACTTATTCTAATCGTTCTGAAATTGTTCGTCAACCATTGGACTTATCGATGGACAATCAGTTGTGAAACACGAGTTAGTTTTGCAAGAATTCTCTTGTTTTACTCGTCAATGATGACCATATCTTATTTTCTTGATTCCGAAGCTGTTTTCATTCGACTGCTCACTCGGAACAAATATACATTAGAATCATTTACCAATTTACCAATCTTAAGCACGTCTTTACGAGAGTTTTGGGGTCGAAGATACAATCAGATTGTGAATACAGTTCTCAAAGAATCTATCTTTCAACCAATCTGTGCACAATTCTCAGCTCCGACTGTGGCCGGATTGCTGACTTTTAGTGTTAGTGGTCTCCTACATGCTCATCTCGCATTGGTTCTGTTCAATGATTACTCAGCACTATTTCCAGCATTTATGTTCTTCTTTGTGCATGGTTTAGTTTGTTGTTTCGAAGCGAATCTAAATCGTCCACTTCCTGGATATATTGGATGGTTAACCACACATGTATTTCTGATCATAACAGCTCCGTTGATGCTTGCACCATTTATTCGACAAGGATCCGAATTTTTGGTGCTGAACCCACCGCCATTGATAAACGTAGAATGGATACCAAAAGTGCCCATACCTGACTTTTGTCTTTGAAAAGAACACTCATCAGTTATCTAAAAGATTACTACAAGCACTTTTATTGTAATACGATGATTTTGTCTCGATTTTTCCTATGAAATAAAAAACTAGGATATGTCGGCAATTACTACATTTCCAATCGATGCATATTTATAAAAGGGAATGAAAAATGATCTCTTGTCTTGAGATAATTACTCATTGGAACCATTTTTTGCTATTCTAATCATAAACACATGACTGTAGCAGGATTATCATTGAAAGTACGACTCAATCATGAATATAATTTTCGAAGCATCAGACTTTAATCTGATTGAAAACCTTTTTTCTTTTTATTTCAAAGGATCATATAGAATCCAACAAAAATTGTTAACAATCTATTTCAAGTTCATACTTTGGCAAATAATAGGACTTTATTCACAGATGTATCGCACCCTCAATGGCCATAGACAAGGGTTTTGCGTGAAGAGTTAAGTAGCAAAGCATGCAAATAGTTCAGTCAATGTCCTGATCGAAATCGAATCAACTGTTTCCGAATTGCGCTCTAGAATTCTTTCCGATAATTGGTAGATGGCAGTACAAATGTCAAGATCGGAGGTACAAATGATACAAAATATCCAAGAACATTCATCCACTCAGAAATAACAGAATTAGACGAGGTGTGCTCACCACAACTAATGTTAGTGGAGATATCAACAGATGTTTATGTCGATATAATTGCTCTTTCAGATGCTCAGAGGATCAAGAAAGTGAACGAGGTTGACGAGATAGTTGTAGGTATGAACTATTGGCGGGTAATCAGCAAAACACCAGATTCTCTGATCATTCTCATCCACATCGGTGATCAGCCGCCGATAGTATGGATCGTGAACATGTGAAAGTAGTGTTAAAACAATCACGGCTGCAATGACCCATCGTGCTAGTTGTCTGCTTCTTNTCGCGTAGTAATTGTTCGACGTCTGGATGAACAATAACATATCCAGTTGAATACGTTTCTTTTAAATCCACATTTTCTAATGGTGGATCTAAGTTTGAGTTGTTTACATTCCAAAAACAATACTTTTTCATCGCTGCAAAAATACACTCGAGATGCACCTTTGAATTAATTATTTTGCAGCGATGAAAAAGTATTGTTTTTGGAATGTAAACAACTCAAACTTAGATCCACCATTAGAAAATGTGGATTTAAAAGAAACGTATTCAACTGGATATGTTATTGTTCATCCAGACGTCGAACAATTACTACGCGATCAAAATACAATTGTACCTACTGGTGAAAATACGAATGAAGACGAAGACAAGACTCCTACCCAGGAAAGTACTGCCAACTGGACTACAGATGTTATGGCGCATATAGCATTTGTTTGTCAGACCGTTACTCACGAAGAGTGGGACAAGGAAAGACTTTATGAAGATTATAGTACGAAATTCGGAAATTCAAATGAAGAGTCGAAGGCAAAAAATGAGGAATCAAAGAAGAAATTCGATTTTATTTATGATAACTGGAAAAGTATTTTATCTACTTTTGTCCTTTGTAAGAATGATACAGCAGTTAATGAAGCTCTTAAACACGAAATTAAATTAGAATTTGACCGTACTGTAATTTACTCGATGGACTCACGGTCCACGGATCCAGGAGACTTTTTTAACGACATACGCAAGCTAAAAGACCCAATTGATATTCGCGCCTATGCAGTCAATGTGAATGGTGAAGAAGTGGCGAAGGCCTTGAAAGCATCGGGTGATACTAATAATAAAGACTCCACGGAGCGCACTTTAGTGTTGTATACAAACACTAATAAGTACACATATGCGTTCGCATATAGTCTGACTGGCCAGTGCAATCTTCGAGTGAATCCAAGTCCTAAAGTGCGTGGGGATAGCGATCAACATTTCTTGTATGTTCTTTGTCCTCATGCTAGCGCCGCTACAGCTGCTGTTCATGGAATATATCGGCAACTATTGAAATTCAAATCAAGTCCATCTATGGCTGAATCTGAGCAAACTGTTATTGCTTCTATTGCAAGTGGTGCAACAATACCTGCTCACAATATCCGGCAACAACCTACTAATGACTCAAATCAGTCGGATACTAATCCGCCTATTGGTGCTGCTCCGGTTGCTTCGATTCTTGAGCGATCACGTTCGGATGATGACGATGATACACATATTAATAGCAAGAAAAATACCCAATTATAATATTAAAGGCAGATGACTTCTGCTCTTTGTTATTCCTGCTAACCAAAGTTACATCATGTTTCAACTGAACCCGCAACTGCAACTGTAGTGACCTTTCTCTAGTACACTCTTAAACATGGCTTCTTGCTTATAGAAAAACTTTCTGTAGATGCCTTCCAGCAACAGCCTATCCTCCATAAGCTTAGATTAAACAAATTAGAGGCAGATCAATTTTTCACGTAGATATTGCAAAAAAATTATACCTTATAATCATCTTGTCGTATTCAATAAATCTAAAATACATCAAATAAAAATATTGCGCAACGAACAGAGAGGCAAGGAAATATTCATCAAACTTCTCTATAAAGAATTATCAGAATTATGTTTCAGAACTGATAAATTGAAAATTTTTCAATACCGACCCAGTCGTTTTCAGATCTCAAGCGGTGCTTGAGGGTGAGATGATTCTGTTTGATCGTATTATTTCACTGATTATCTGTGATACTGGAACGCTACTACATGCATATGATTTGTATTCTCCATAGCACACGCATATATTCATTTCTAGTCGTCAAAGGTAACTTTACGAAATCCGTGTGATGTCTTCACTGCTATGTTATATTCGAGTAGAGAGAATCGATATTTAATTATGAAGAAAAGTATGAAATGGTACAATATCATGATTTGAAATGGTTGGAGAAAATTGTTTACCCAGGTGAAAAAATAATGCAGTTAGGTTATGCGTTGTGTCACTATGATGTAGTGTTATTCGATGTATTATATTCGAAAATAAAGAGGAAGTGCATGCGCTTGGTTTTCTCCTACAGACACATGTATGTATATAATTTAATACCTATTCAGAATTAACCATGCATAATGTTTTTCTTTATATTCGATATTAACCTTTACGTGTATACATAAAACGAAAGAAAAATCAGAGCCTTTATGACAAATAGTTTCTTTTCAGATTGCGATGACGTTCGTATGGAAGTTTCAGTGCTTATGTTTGTATTTCCTTTTTGTTCAACGACAAGTAGAAGGAACTTGGCCTTCAGCGAATTCATCAGCAGTTCAGCTACTATATCTTTCACAAAATATCACTGATATCACTAATATTCAGTCATGGTATTATCAAACTCGTGCGATGTTCTACTCGGCTATACTGCTTTCTCATCAATACGGTATAACTGTCGGAGGTGAATATTTGGGCTGGCGTCTTGAAACAACGTCAGGTAGTCCCATGAACGCTCTTCGTATGACGTGTGAAGCAGTGTCGACTTCCAATATTGTCGGTATTGTTGGACCGTCAGTTTCGCGAGAAGCACATGTACTTGCACCATTTACTGAAGATATCGATATTCCCATCATATCCTATGGTGCAACTGACCCTAAACTGTCCGATCGAATAGAATATCCCAGTTTTTATCGTACAGTACCTTCGGATAATGACGCAGCTTTGGCTATGGCTAAACTGTTTGTGCGATTCAATTGGACAATGTGTATCATTATTTACCAAAATGATGAATTTGGAACGGGAGGCGTTAAAGCCCTTTCTGATGCGTTTGCTGATAGCAATATAACTGTTACAGACACGATGATCTTCGATATGACAACATTGGCCATTCGGGGTGATTTGAAAGGTATATTGACACACAGTTTAGCACGAACCGTAATCGTTTGGGCTGATTCGACTTATGCAACACTAATTCTACAAAGCGGTCTCAAAGCAGATGTAGTTGGCCCATTATTTACATGGATATTGGGCGGCGATGTTGCATTAACAGATTTCAACGACACTTGGTATGATCGCTTAGTTGGAATATTATCCATTAGTCCTGTGGTAGGAAATCTGGCAGGCGCACCAGTAAATCAAACATTGTTAAATGATGCGTATACCATCTGGAAGACGTATGAACCTGAATCGTTTCCTGGCACAGCAAACGTTGATTATTACACATTGTTTGCATTTGATGCAACATGGGCGTTGATTGAATCATTTTCACGATTGTGCTCCAACAGCAATTTTTCATCGTGCATTGGATTTACGAATACTTCGTTTTGTTTCGACCGACGTGCTCTAAATATGCATTCAATATTTGATATACTTAATACAAATACTTTCCTGGGTGTGACAGGTTCTGTTCAATTTTTTACCAATACAACAGATCGAATCAACGGTTCCTATTACATTGTGAAAAATGTTCAACGTTTTTCCAAAACTCTTAACTTTGTTCCAGTCCTAGTATCGACCGGATCAGCTGACTGGACCCAACATGCTGAAAAAAACATTATTGTTTGGCCTGGTCAATCTTTAACTATACCAACCGGTTACGCATCCATTCACGGCGTTACATTACGTATTGGTGTTAAAGAAACAGTTCCATTTGCTATGGAGAAAGAAATTACAGATGAATATGGAAATAAGAAAGCAAAATTAGTCGGCTATGCCGTTGATTTGGTTTATCGTCTACAAGAAAAAATGGGATTTATCGCAAATGTCACTTTAATACCTCAAAATGTTACATATAGCAGTCTGCCTGATTTAATAGTAAATGACCAATTCGATGTGATAGTTGGAGATATCACAATTTTAGCCGTCCGAAGAGAAAAAGTGTCGTTTTCTGAGTCAATCTTTGACAACACATTACGGTTAATCATTCGAAAGAAAACTTCCGAAAGTTATGGTCGTTTCGCCTTTTTGAAACCATTTCCAGTAATTCTCTGGATCATGATCGCACTCGTCGTTCTTTGGTCTGCTTTGCTAATTTACTTCTATGAAGTACGCCATGCAGAACTCAGAAAGAAGCCAGTAATTTCTCGCATTGGAATGAGCATTTGGTATGCAATTGGGACACTTATTGGATACGGTGTTGACTTCCAAGCAAAAACATCACCTGGTCGCATCCTGACAAGCGGTATATACGTCGTCAGCGTCGTTCTCATTGCCGCATATCAAGCAACGTTAACAGCGAAGTTAACTCTCTCTCAATCACAAGATTTCATCGCCGGCATTGACGATATTAAAAATGGAAAAGTTCCATACAATCGAATTGGCATTCTTGTAGGTACTTCGATTGAAGATTATTTTCTTCGAGAAATCACTGGTGGTAGTCGAAATTATTATCCGTTAACAACCAAAGAAGATATGTACGAAAAGTTATTAAATAAAGTTATCGATGCATCAATCATGGATTCAGGTGTCGTCGAGTACGCGACCAGTGCCGTCTATTGCAATTTGACTCTCGTCGGTGCCGGTTTCGATCATAGTTCATTCGGAATCATGTATCCAAAGAAGTGGTTATATGAACAGATCCTGGATGTCACCGTATTATCATTCCGTGAAGCAAATGTGTTCAATGAGTTGCAAAGAAAATGGTTTCAGGCAACAACATGTGCACAGGACTCAGGAACATCAGATCCAACAGATTTACCATTTGAAGCCATCGCTGATTTGTTTGCTGTCTTTGGAGTTATTAGTCTTCTATCGTTACTAATGTACATAGGAAGGATATTACACAAACATTACGGATCGAAAGTAGTTATCTCAAGCGACATAGCGCTTGATACTCCTCCACCGCCTACTCCTGGCCCTAGTCTTTCATATTCAGACCATTTGCCTTTCGTTCCGTCGCATCGTCATACATGACTTTTTCTTTTAAAAGATGTTTTTTATTGTTATTTAGTACAAATAAAAGAAATAACTATATAGGATCTAGGCTTTTCAAAACGAACAGTTGTGTGTAATTCTGTACTTCTGTCTTAGTTGTCGTAGTAAAGTTTGATCGTATGTACAAGTGAGATTTTTTTGATTGTCAACTACTCCTCCCACTTTCCATTGTCGATACTCATGAATAAGCTCTTCAATCCAAAAGTTAAAACACGGAAAATGTGTTTGTGCAGGTCTTGTTGTTACTAACGAACAAAAAACTGGATCTTTAGCACACATTTCTATAAACAATTGTCCATCGTTCGCCAAGTTATCATATGGATTCACTGGTATGGCGAACCCATCAAGGATTAATTTCGCTGCTTGTCGGACTAATCGCACAACCTCATCTTGTCGAATCCCTTTTACTCGTTCATTAATTGGGTAATAAAGACCTTTGATATACGGTGTCCCGCTTGTCATATATTGTTCGCCGAACGAAGTAAACACTTTCTTTGTTTTATCTGACCCATCGGGTTTTAAACCACCGAGATTGATATGAATAGAACCGTCCGGTAAAAACGTTTGATACATTTGACCTGTCCCCGGCGCACTTATATGAATGTCCATCTGTCGTAAGAGACGTAATTGTGCAATGAATTTGTTATCTTGAAATAGTGACGGAGTCAAATTGCGAAGTGGTATATCTTCATAGTGAAGATAAGATATGTGAATTAACGGGTGCTGCTGCTGCTGTTGTTCCTTTTTAAAGAAATGCGTATAGTTGTTGATCTCAGCGATGGCGTCTTGAATCTGTTGAATATCATCCTCGTGAAAACGTTTATTATGAATCACATAAGTGCGAAGAACATCATTTGATGTTCGATATTCAGATGACGATCGATGTCGAACTCTTGGTGGTAATAATCCATGCTGGCGATACATTCGATCACGAAAGAGCCGTGAGCCGTCCAGTTCAATTCCACCAGGTAATTGAAAATTTGTTTGCGTACAACGTTGACACATCATTCCACTTCCCATAATGATCTCTTCGAACATAAACCATCGCCGCGTGGACGTCTGCATGAACTGAAGCTCTTTGATAATTGGCAGGCCAGAGAATCGTTGATAGATGTCTTCAGTCCAACATTTATCACAATCACGAAAATCTGTAAATAGTCGAAATGGATGAAGATGTCGAGGAGAGAAACGAATCAAAGCAAGATAAGCAGGGTACAGTCCGTCAAATAATGCATGACCAATATTGTATTGCCAATCTTGAATAAAATAAACAGTGACATCAGGAATACTTGTCGGTTCAGCAATTGTTCGAACGAAATGTTCCAGAGACGAATAAGAATCAAAAACACGCTTTTGTCGTACTTTTGGCCAAAGCTGAAGCGAATTCGTTCGAACAGAATAATCTGGTAGCGACGTTCCGTTGACTGTTAAAATGATAAATTCGCCATTGATATAATAGAGATTTTCGAATAAACAGGATTGATTGATCAGTGGACCTATACAACGAATTCGTGTTTCCAATGTTCTATTTGTTTGATCTATTGGCGTCGAATGATTCCATAGTGGAACGTAACTTTTTTGCAGTAAAACAATGCAAAATGAAACTGCGATCAATTTGAGTAATGCTAAGATTCGTCGTTTGGTTAACATTTAAACTTCTGATTTTTACCGTCATCCGTTCGATTGTAAAATTTAACAGAATTGTTTACATACGTGCCTTTTTCTTTTTTCGTTCTGACAGAAAAAAAGCGATGTTCGTAACAACCACACTGTTCTATTCTTTGCAAACGAACAATGACTCATTCAAGGTTATCAAATGAGCATATCTTTGAAAAGATAATAAATATACAAAAGAAAGAAATCAGTGCATTTTACTATACCATGACTCTGTCCTCGTCAATTCTTCTCAGCTGGATTGCATATATAATCATCTCTTACTATGTCATTCGTCCTATTCCATATGGTTTTCTTCGATTTCTCCTCACATTATTTCCATGTGGCTTATTAACTTGGATCACTTGTCAAGATCTACCAACATTTTACGCGTCATCAGTGATCATTTTAGCCATAGCTTGGTTGACATTTATACGTTTGATTCAACTAACTGTTTGTACAATGAATTCACCATTAACATTTCAATCATATCTCGCGAAAATTCTTTGGACTTTTCTTCCTATTCGATCCCAACAGTCCCTGAGAAATCAGTGGCCGATCAGTACACAACTTATTCTAATCGTCCTGAAATTGTTCGTCAACCATTGGACTTATCGATGGTCAATCAGTTGTGAAACACGAGTTAGTTTTGCAAGAATTCTCTTGTTTTACTCGTCAATGATAAGCATATCTTATTTCCTTGATTCCGAAGCTGTTTTCATTCGACTACTCACTTGGAACAAATATACGTTAGAATCATTTACTAATTTACCAATCTTAAGCACTTCTTTACGAGAGTTTTGGGGTCGAAGATACAATCAGATTGTGAATACAGTTCTCAAAGAATCTATCTTTCAACCAATCTGTACACAATTCTCAGCTCCGACTATGGCTGGATTGATGACTTTTAGTGTTAGTGGTCTCCTACATGCTCATCTCGCATTGGTTCTGTTCGATGATTACTCAGCATTATTTCCAGCATTTATGTTTTTCTTCGTGCATGGCTTAGTTTGTTGTTTCGAAGCGAATCTAAATCGTCCACTTCCTGGATATATTGGATGGTTAACCACACATGTGTTTCTGATCATAACAGCGCCGTTGATGCTTGCACCATTTATTCGACAAGGATCCGAATTTTTGGTGCTGAACCCACCACCACTGATAAACATAGAGTGGATACCAAAAGTGCCCATACCTGATTTTTGTCTTTGAAAAGAACACTGATTCATTATCGAAAAGATTACTATGAGTACTTCTATTGTAATACGATGATTTTGTCTCGATTTTTCCTATGAAATAAAAAACTGGGACATGTCGGTAATTACTACATTTCCAATCGATGCATATTTGTAAAAGGGAATGAAAAAGATTCTCTTGTCTTGGGATAAATACTCATTGGAACCATTTTTTGCTATTCTAATCATAAACACATGATTGTAACAAGATTCTCATTAAAAGTACAACTCAGTCATGAATATAATTTTCGAAGCATCAGACTTTAATCTGATCGAAAACCTTTCTTTCTTTTTATTTCGAAGGATCATATAGAATCCAACGAAAACAGTCTACTTCAAGTCCATACTTTGGCAAATAATAAGACCTTGTTCACAGATGTATCACACCCTCAAGACTTCAACCTTGGTTCGTATATTGATTAAACTGAGGTTCTTGTGAACTTGTCAATGTTTATTTAGTTCTACTGAACGAATTGGAGAGTTCCATCAACAGGGGTTATTCAGTTTATCATCACGACGGTATCGCGTATGATTATTATTCGAAAACTGAACTTCAGCAATTAAAAACCGTCTATCAATGGAATCGAACGACATACCATTCATCTCTTTCACATGTTTATGAACGATTGAATTTGAAAAATCGATCTTTAACTCATGACCAACAATGACGATGTGCAATCACTATGGAGCATGTCGATACTTGGTACGAAATGGCTGAACAAAACATCTGTTTAATCATTAATTCTCGAAGATGAACATTTTCAAAAATCTTCATTCTATGCTTTTTCACTGTTATCACACAAAAATTCAATGCATCACGATGGACACATGCTTACCTATTAACACCATGCTCAGCTCGAGCACTGATCGAACAACTTCAAATACAGAAAAACGACTTTCAGAATTCAGATTTTCTACAGAATTATTTATTTTCGTTTATCATCAACACTACAATCATTCTGGATTGATCCTCCATTGACTTATCAAGGCAATCAAATCCGTGACTATGATCATATTGAAACTTTTCGAAGTCAAACATATCTCGACTGATTTCGGAACCATTCGATTGTCTTCTGAATTCCGAGAGAGAGTGATGTCATTCGAAATGTTGGATAAAGTTTGGCGAATACACACGTATCAGCTGTACGACGCAACGGACAATCTTTGTTCGTATCATTAT